TCCTGCTCGAATCAATTGACTGAAGATTTCAGAAGCTACCTGCATGATCCTGTGGAAAAAGTGTCTGGAAATAACAGCAGCATGCGTCTAGTGTAAGTGAATAATCATGTTTAGATGAAGGAATGGTCCAATGACAACCTGGGTTAATTTTTGGGGCCCGTGTCAGCCAAGAAAAAATACATCCCTAAAGCCATAAAACTACACCAGCCACTGCTGGATACCCACTTGGGATGAATAATCATATTTAGTTGAAGGGATGGTCCAATGGTAACCTTCATTAATTTTGGGGGCCTGCATCACCCAAGAAAAATTGCATTGCTAAAGCCATAAAACTGCACCAGCCACTGGCTGATGCTGGCTATGCTCACCTGGACCGGGCTGGCCACGAACTTTTTAGCTGCAGCTATTGGGCAGGGCAGTGTTTGGAAGAAGTTCATGCCTATGTGCAGGCTCTTTTGCTCACCCCGGTGCTTTGACACAAAAATTGTTGCTAGGAACCTTGTCACTGTATATTGTTGGTAGAAGGTTCGGCACCGAAGTGGCAATAGCAGCAGTGAAACTCAGCCAGTGCAGCCTGCAACTCATTCACTTGTGGTCGCGTTCAGATCGCAGCGCTTCTCCGATGTAAATCAAGAGATTGGCCACTCCAAGTCCACCAGAAGTAGGCCCACCACTACCACCGAAACCACCACTGCCAGGTCCTGGGCCCCGCCCACCCCCAGTGGATGGTGGTGGTGGGTTGGAGTCGGGGTGGGGCTCCTGGAGTCACGGCGTCTCTTCAAACTGCGCTGCCTGCGCGACGCACGCCTTGAACAATGTTCTCCACGAGATCGGCTGCGGCGACGTCCCTGTTCTGATTCTTCACGACGAGATCGGCTGCGGCCACCCTCTTCTTCACGACGAGTTTGGCTGCGGACTTCCCTTGGCCTTGTCTTAGACCTGCCAGGCCTTGGGCTTGGAGAAGGTTCTTTCTTGACTGCCAGTGTCAAATTGAAGCCCCTCCTCTCATCATTCCATTGCCGCCAGTCCTCTGGCACATCCAGCTCATCGAGGTTGTCTGGGTGCATGCTCTGATAGTGTTGCCACCTCGACCAGAGGTCGGGCGCCAGAAGCTTGTTGCACCTCTGACATGGCACCCTTTGCGGGGCTTCGGGTTTGCCACGCCTCTCACGGGAGACACTTGGGCGATGACTATTCTGTTCATGGTGGGAAGACCATTGCTGGCACTGCAAGGAAGTGGCTTGGTGCAGGGCCAGGTCTCCCTTCACAAACTTCCAACAAATGGGTCAATGGCGCCCTGCAGATGACTCCGCCTCGCCGCTGTGGTTAGGGGCAGATGTCACTGGAGGCTTGCCATCTGGGCTGCGGGGCCTGCGATGTCTATCCTTGCGCTCGTCATTCTCTTGGATCGCTTGCTTTCCTTGGGGCCTTTTTCCTCTCCTCTGCCACGGTGCTCTTTGCGCTCCTTCTTGGTTTTCTTTTCATTCCTCTCTCGCTGCCTCTCCTTCTTTTCCTTCTTGTCTGTCTTCTCTTTCTTCACCTTTGACTCTTTGTTCTCCTTTTTTGATTTCTTCTCGTGGTTGTTTCTGTTCTCTTTGTCATCCTTCGCAGGCTCCTTGTCATTTTCCGTTCCATCGCCGTAGTCTGCTGCTACTACTTCATCTTCCTCCGACTCCTCAGGCTCTGCAGGCGACCTGGCTTCGCTTGAAGAGTTGCTGCTTTCCTCCTCGGTGCGCTCCTCGTCTCTTCCATGTCCTGCCACGGGGCGCGGTACTGAAGAGAAAAACATATACTCACATATTCATGACACTGTTGAAGGTTCAGCCACCTATTTGTTACTTATTATGCTTACGTACAAATGTATATGGATAGATATGTAAGTAAAAACCCTTCGAGTTCGTCAAATTGCTGGGCATTTCTTCAAGGGGAACCATCTAGGTTGGCCACACAATGCTTGCGCCCAAATTGGGCTGCAGGTGGCACTTGCGCCCTTTGGGTTAGCAAGTGGACCTTGCAGCCGTTTGGGTTGGCAAGACATTGATGGCGCCCAGATATGGCTTCAAGACCTACATGCCCTAACAATCAGAACTGCCAAAAGGCTTGAATCCGTTGAAAAAACTGTGAACAACTTAGACTTTTCATGGTGCACCCCCCTGCCACGGACTGGTCCTTTCCCAGGCGGCATCAGCGCACCCAACCACGGAAGGCGCACTATCCAGTACAACATATAAATGCTGCGGGCTCCAAGCAAAAAAAACATCCACCAAAAACAAATTTATTGTGAAGTTCAGTAATGGCCAGTCATATGAAACCATGATGATGATGATGATGGTGATGATGATGATGATGATGGTGATAATGTCGTCTATATGTTTGAAATCCGAATTAAAACCAAATGCCAACATCAGGTGAAGGGGAAAATCTATGTTCCTGGGAGGCCGCCTACTGCATGATTAGGCGGCCTGCCATACAAAACAACATGAGTTGTAATAATGCGATTGGAACCGTTTGCTGTATCCAGTTTTGATTCCTAAGCTGCCGGCAAGGTTGACTCGCGCGCTTGTCCTGCATGCGAGTCATCAAATATAGGAACAGTTTCTTCATCAACACTATCAAGAGAGACAATGGCAAAACATGATTTCTGCAGATGTCTGTAGATTTGATTTCTTCATATTTCTTCACACAAAACATAAAACATTATAAGGCATAATCATGTGAATCTTCTTTGCGCTAACCTAGTGGGTTGGTGGTTTCCAAATGAAAAAATGAGTTAGTTATAGTTAGTTGGTATCCCAGCAACCCAGTTATGGTTTTTCAAAAACCAAGTTGAACCCATCTCACAATGTCAAATGGCAAAGCATCGCACCTTGTATATGGCTCTCACGGAAACATTTCAGCTCTTCTCGCATGGAAGCAACCTCCAAGCATCGAACCCAGAAGGAATCAGTTTTTGTAGACCAAAAGTCAAACATAGTCAAACCATGTCAAGCGAATAACGATCCAAAATGCAACCTGTTCAGGATCCAAATGCAGCAAAGGGGAGGATATGGGAGGATGTCTTGCTTATCACAGATATATAATGATATATGGTGTCAATTTCCCCCCCGTATTCTTCTTGTTACACAGCAGCTGGTCCCATAGCAACTGAGCGTCTGTCAGAGCTGTCAGTCAGAGACAGACATTCAAAGTTATGACCTGGCCACAAGTCTATGACCTCACACCTTATATTCGCTGGCTTCGAGCCAGAAAGTCAAGGGGGTTATTCACCTATATTCACCTGACAGGCATGTGAGTCAAAGTGCCAAATCGACACTGGTCAAGATCTTTCGTTGACTCACAGCCATGTCTGGCTTAAAATTCCCATTCACTTGCCTTCACTGATCGCTGCATGAAACCCAGGATCTTTCGGAAATTTTCGGAAGGTAGGTCTGCACTTCAGGATCTTCTTGGCGTTCCGCTACGTGATCTTGAAGGGGGCTCAGTTGCTGAAGTTGAAACACTCGGCTGACATGGAGTAAGAACGTGAGGAAGAAAGCGCTCCGGAGTGGGCAGGTCATAGTTATCACTAACATCATCATCCTGAGAACGATCAGGAACTCCAGGTTCATCGAGTCCATCCACCTTCTGATCCTGGTACGTTTCCTCAAACGTTTCGATCTCTTCAATGATCTTCTTGAACTCACTGGCTGCTTCGCTATCTACAACAATGCGTTCGGAGAGCTTTTGTGGAGCCACCGATGTGGGAGCCACTGGTGAAAGCATGGAGGTCGTTGATCCACCACATCCAGTTCCATGTGATCGAAGTGGGACAGCATCATCGGTAGGCACCAGACTTGTAGGCGTTGGAATAAGTTCCCCAGGTTCAGAAGGTTGAGAAGGTCCATAAGATTCAGAATGGGCATCAAAATCGTTGGTCTCGGGTCCATGGGCCTCACCAAGATACTCCACAAGGTAGGTCACCACTGTCACCAAAGATTGAACTGCGCCAGCAAGATTGTCAACGCTGGACTTCAACTGCAAAGCCAAATCCTGCAGGGCTCAGGGAGTTTGAAAAAAGATCACTGAGCGAACTAGGCTAGACTCTCAGGCTCGCTAGACTAAGTGGCTTGAATTATACCTGAAAACAACACAACCTTCCAATTCAAACGACCAAACAAACCAAACTTAACAACACAGGATTGCACAACCAAAAGATAATCCATGATAATCCTGTGAGATCATGGTGGTTGCTGAATTCGACATCAACGGCATATGAGATGGAGAACGGAGAAGTGGTTATACAATGTCACTAGCTTTGAGCCAGGCCTGTTAGGCCTAATGCCTTCAGTTTGTTAGTGTCAACTTCAAGACTTCAAGACCTCAAAAGATCACATCAGGTCGGATCAGATTCATCGATATTATTTTTTGAAAAAAGGGCATGATGGTAACACAAGCAAAATGTTTGGGGAATTTTGGGGATGTTTGGCGGCATCAGGCTGCTGTGTTGCGAAAATGAAAGCTCGGAAAAAATCTGAGGATTTATACATTAACTATATCATTATCCTGATATCAAAAAATACTTATTTATTATTATATCATAAAATCCTGATTTATATATTATCACGCCAGCAGTCTGATGCCAGTGCCAACTTTTCACGCTTTTGGCAATTAGTGGAACCTGCGGTGCGCCACGGGGAAACAAAAGGGCTGTTGACACATGATGACACATGTTTTGGAGGAAAGGGGTGGAAAGCCCCCCCCCAGGGTGGAAAGCCCCCCCCCCCAGGTGGGCCCCCCTTAAGGCTGGAGGGATACCTTACATCCACTTTTAGAGGTTCCATTCGTCTTGCAGCAATTGGGGTGTGAAGATCTTTAATGGACTTTAATCACTTTAATCTCCATATTTCACCAGAATTGAACATGGCAAAACCATGGTTTCTTGATGTTTCTTGTAGGTTTTCCATTAAACCAATCCCTCGAATGAGAAGCCCGGGGCGGGATGGTCAGAGTTGTCCGCTGAGGAATGTCAGCATGACTTCGGAGGCGGCCACGCAGTGACGGTTACGGCTTGGCTTGGCTACTGGCGGCTTACGCGACATTGGAATATCTTGGAATTTTTTTGGCACCTCACAAATGACAACCAAACAGCTGGAAAATGCTCACAAAATGAAATTTAATAATTATCTCAATATGTTTATTTGAGGAACACTATGCCAAACCCATCTGTAATACCCTGGCTTCTATCTTTTGTGAACCGCCATAAGATGAATTACGATGAACAAAGATCAGCAACTATCAGTTGTAACATCTTGTAACTAGATATTCCTGCTTGTTAACAGTTAACATATATGTTTGATGTATATACATGTTTATACCTTCAGTGGTTCATAGCAGAGACGGCCATGCTCGACTCATTTTCTGAGTGGGATATACCCCAGCATCCCATAGTGCAATTGATCCTGAACATTATCGCCCTCACTCCCAGATGTGATGCTGAGATGCTTAGGGTTTGATGGATTTTGATGGTGTCAATTATGCCATATCATCCAATGTTGTGTTTGTAAGATGTTATATACATAAGGTGACCCGGGTCTCATCTGTAGTCTTGGCAGGTGGGATGTGTGTCTGGCTACTGGATACAATCGTCTCTCCCTCTCTCCATCTATATTTTGCAGCACAGATGGGCAGATAGTCTCACATATCTAAGCTTGTAGGGATACTGAATACTGACCAAAATCAACAGATGATTCATATGTTCAAACATCCCCGAACGAAACATCACCCCAAAAAGCAAGAACACATCACCAGATGATTACAGTAAAACATATGTAGCATGTCTTTAATTTCTCAGTTGATTTATGTTATATCTGTTTCGTTTTAAGACAAAAATATATACATAGACGCAAGATAACTACCAAATCAATCGCAGTAATCAAAGCACCCAGATCCCCCAAATTTTCGAACACATGACCGAGGATTTTCACCACTGCACAATCCCTGAAACATCAACCCATCACCTTGAGATGGTTTGTTCCTTGTGCAGAATCAACCAATCATCTTAAGCCTAGATTGGGATATGGACATAGACATCTACTGCCAAAAAATGTGCGCAGAGAAATGATTGATATTATACAAACAACTAGTCATCCAACTTCATCACTAAACATCGAGATAACTCATTTCAATACTGGGAGCAAGAATCAACATTAGATTCAACCTGGTGAGCCAAAACAACTAATTACATTCTATCAATTGTACAGCTGATTGGTGTCACAATTCAACTCAACCAATGAAAGGACATCATATATAACAAAAATCAGGCCAATAAATAAATTTCAGCAACCCATTCTATAATATCACTATCCATATTCTTGATTGGTATTGGCTTGTTAATTATATCCCATTAAAATCCACTCAAATCATATCGCATCAGATCCCATTCAAAAACTTCATTGAATAGACTTGACTGGCATCTAACATTGATTTAGGTATTCATTTGGCTTATATTCATCTGGATGAATTATAAGAACTTCTGTAACGTCGCTGATGGTTAGGATTCAGGGAATCATCCCCAAATGGCCGAATGACAACAGCTATTTGCAGGTGATTGAATTATGAAAATAAAGCCAAATTCACGAATATTGATTTAGGCAAGCATGAAAAATATATTTTATTATAAAGTACCTAATGGTTCTAATGTATTATGGCCATAGGTGGTCGAAACTCCCCAAATGCTGGGTTTCTCGGGTTTAGTGGTTAAGTATTGGTTTAAGAGTGGTTTACTAGTGATTTAATAATGGTTTAATGGTTTAATAATGGTTTAATGAAGACAAATATGAATCACTAATAAAGATAGACCACGTCATCCCCTATTAAACCATTCTTAAACCACTCTTACCATGGTGGGTTTATCATCACTCCATCCCCAGCCCAGCTCTCCAGAGGACTTTGCCCAGCGACTGCTCTCCCTGGGCGCGCGGCTGCAGGAACTGCTCTGCGAGAACTGGATTTCAGGGGTGGTGGCTTTGCCATGGCGTTGTGGAAAAAACATGGCTTCACCAGGCAAAATTGGGATCGACATGAGTTTAACATGATTTAAGTAACTCATTGAGATCATTAAATTCTGTTTAACATGGGTTTTACGATTGTGATTTAAACAGCAAAAAGGAATTGCACATTTACATTCATCCAGGCAACGCGATTCAAGCAAGAACTTGACAAAATTTGGGATTTTTTGACCAGACAAAAATATGGGGATTCAATTTGATACCCCAAAAACATGTGGTAATTTTGGTCACATTCAGTGGAATGGGTTTGTCTAGAAATGGTGGAGACCTCACTTTGAAAATGGGGGTACCAGAATTTATGGTCATTTTCGTTGGGGAAAAATGATGAAGCATCACATTTGGGGCATCCTATTTTCAGAGAAACTTAAATGATGAAAAATGGGGGGAAGCGCAGGGGAAACCATATATATATATTATAAAGTATTTTAAGACCTGTGTTTTGTCTCTTAAGACATGTGTTTTAATCTTAGTCAGTAAGCCTTGCTGAATGTTTGTCGAATCCTTTAATTGTTTTTCAATGGGGAAATTATTTAACTATACCCCACTCAAGACTCAAACATTTGAGGTCCATGGATGAAGGATCCATGGGGGTATCTAGCAGTGGCATCTTGCTGCTATGCCGGAGTAATAAGTGGGTTGGTTATGTTCTCTATAATGTAAAATAGGACGAAGTCACGGTGTAATTTAGTGGAATTCATGGCATGAAACCAATCTAGGAAAATTTTGATTGGGATTTAGCCAGCAAACATGATGATGATAACTGGGAATAAAATGGGGGTTCTGGATAAAACCCAAATGCGACCTCATTGTAGATCAAGGTTAGGATTGGGGCAACTATACCAAAACAGCTGATTTTTTCAGGGCATTGACTTGTTTCGAACTATTCAAATCAATGAACAATTTGCCGTCAATTGAGGTTTACACTCAGTGGAACGACATTGAGGAAGATTCTCGGCAAGGAGTTCTACGGCTGTCAGTTGTTTCGTCCCTGGTCACTGGTCAAGGCTTGACCAAGCGGCCAAGCGGCCAAGCACTCATTTTTGGGTGGGGGAAAGACACGAAGGGGAAAGCATTAGGTGCACATCAAGATAAAAGATGAAGGAACACATGAGCAACTGACATTACCTGACTTTATTGCTATAATTTATATTTTTATACGTGTGGTTGTCTCAACCCTAGGAAGGCTCCTTCGGGCTACTGGACAAAAAAGCTGCAGAGTTTGCAGTTGATTTGGAGTTTCATTGCGGTGGATGAACTCCAAGTTGTGTGGTTTATCCCAATGATAGGCAGTGAGCCCCGTGAACCCCCATAAATGTGATTCCCGTTATTGATGCTGGGTGGTAAACCACATCATTGGTTAAGATTCCTGATTAAATCCAATAAGTTTGTTTGCTCTGAGCACATCCCTCAGTTGGTTAAAAAAACAGTGCTTTATTTGCTGAAATTTCATAATATCCTAATTTGTTCTGATTAAAACGAAAATATTTCAGGTAAATAGCATTGAAACATATTATCACATGGTGTTCTGTTATTTCGAAATTTTATTTCGTGGTTCAACATATAACTTATCCAAGGGCCCATGTGCTTGAGATCCTAGCCCGAGGAAGTGAATGGCTTGGTCACCTATGACCGTGTCGCCAAGCTCTCCAGGACGGTTAACCAACCAAAATGCTGGTAAAATAGGCATACAATAGGGGTATAGTGAGAATGCTTGAGGTGACTCTTGAGTTTTCCCAATGGAAAATCAAACACTTGGCGAATCTACAGGAGATATTTGCGTTTTGTTTGGTGCTGCCAATCGGATCAGGGGTTGGGAAATTGTAGCATTCCTCGAGGGGCCCAAGGAAGAGCACATCAGCTTTCAAGCGCAATTGTCTTGGGATGATTTTGTCACCTGACCCCGGAAAATTGTAGAAAAGCCAGTCTAGCGCAATGAAACTAGCCTCTGGTTTCATGTCATGTCCTTTGTTGTTGTCTCAACGTCCTTTGCATAGTGTGGCTTTTGCGGGTTTTTGAGCTTTTTTCTGCTCATCAATGGATCCACAAGCATAAATTGCTTTAGGTTTATTTCAGCATGTGAGCGCTAGAAACCCAACAGCTCGAACCAAAAGCATCCAAGAGGGAATCCAGCAGGATGAAAATCATGTGTTTTTCATGGGCTTGTAATGGCGTGTACATAACTTTACGCTTTGCACGATGTGTGCGTATAAGTGTCCCTGTCCTTTGACTCGCTGACTTGCAGGAGCATTGTGGCGAACTTCAACCAGCAACTCAAGGACGTGACATGGCACTGCAACAGCCGGGTAAACCCACTGCTTGGGAATTGGGTTGGCGTGGCCTTTAGATTCCTTTCCTGCGAAAGATAAATTGGGGGGCCTCTATAGACTCTATAGAAAGTTTTAAAGAGGGATGTGCTGTACTAATCATATCATATCACATGGAATCCTATGATATTCCCATTACGGTGATGCCTGTGATGTGATATATCATATCCTAGTACCATCATATGTCATAAATTGATGTATATATATATAATGTGATGTGATGTGATTATACATACGTATATATATAATCCTTACCTCCCCTTGCGGTTGATTTAACTCCACCGCTTTTCAAAGGGGTTCGCCAAGTCAGGCCCATGCGCGCTGCATCGGCCAGTGGACCAACAAAAAGTGCTGGGGATGTGGATGGGATTTGTGAAGATATTTGGCATTTGAAGATAACATGTAGGTTTTTAGGTACAGTATGTTCTTATGTGTGTGTATGTACCTATAATAATTATAATTTATAATTATAAATATATGTGTTTGTGCCTTTAGGGTTGGTGGTTTTTCGGGTTTAGGGACATACATACCAATTTCGCTTGCAGCAAGTTGTCATCATGGATGTGCTGGATGCTGATGCTATAAGTTTGCATTCCTGTGGGGATGAAGGTATTTTGGGGAAACAATGGCACAATTCCTTGCTAGTGTAGGGGGCCCTCCGTCTCATGCAAGGACTACTGTTGATGGATGGCAGCTTGCTGGATACAAGTTCCATCCCAGGAACTGATTTTGAGCATGATCATCGCATTTGCTAAATCACCGTATAAAGTGTTATTTATTACCCATTGCATCCCACTATATCCCATTATATGGCATTAATTATGTTAATATCATTGTTGCATCTGTTAGATAGTCATGATGAAGTCGCCACGTCCCTTGCCGCCCATTTCAACGGCCATTGGGGTGAAGAACTTTCTCGCTCAGGTCAGACCTAACCTTGGGTGGTTTTTGATCATGTCAGGATGGTCATCAAAATGGTTGTCATACTGCCATGGTCCTAATCAACATGGACTGCCAGGCTACATCTTTGATCATGGACCATGTCACTATCCGAAGCAATCTGAATTACTGCCATCACACTTTGAGCGATGGGCGCCTCACTGCCGTGGTCGCCAGGCGCTGGGAGCTAGCAGGTAGCCACCAAAGTTGGGATGTTTGGATGTGTTTGGCCAAAAGATGGACACACACGTAGAAGACTTTATATATACTTAATACATGTTTGGTTATAACAAGTCTAATTACTGACGTTTTTTTTTGGGGGGGGTTTTGGCAGCCTACACCGTTTTTAGCATGTACTGTAGAAGGATGGTGGGGAAGTGAGATGGTTCCCCGGGCCCCATGAGGTCCCATGGGGTCCCATGGGGTCCCATCGCGACGATATGTTGCTGAATACTCAGAGAGTCCCAGAGATTGGAGAAATGATTGGTGGCTACTGATCATATATATATATATGGCTATATATAGTAATACTGATTTTCTGATTATTGGCTACTTTTACTTCAAAAAGAATCCCATGAATGGCTGCTATACTTATTGGTCCTCTGCCCCATTTGGTTCACATATGCTGAGGCTTCGCTGGGTTTCCCTGGGCCCATGGACAGGCAGCCTGGGGGTTGTTCTTGTGGGATCTAACCGACCAGGCTGATGTAGAACATGGTCACCAACCTGTCGCGTGGATCGTGTCTTGATGCTTTTCTCCCAGAATTGAAATGGCAAAATACCACCATCCTTCTATTTGGACGTAACAGCAACACATATTTCCGGTAAATTTCCCTTCAACCAATCAATGACAATGATGAGGGTGATCAGCCAATATCAGCCATTTAGATCGGAAGAGCCAGAGCCAGTGTATGGTTAATCCCTGGAAGTAAAACAAGGAGCGAACGTGCCCTGGGAGCCTCAATACCAGGGGCAAGTTGAGAATGGTGGTGATGATGATGATGAGGACGATGACGACGATGACGACAACGATGATGATGACGACGACGACGACGATGATGACGACGACGACGATGACGATGATGATGATGATGATGATGATGATGATGGCTGTGAATTATGATCATATTCATTTGCCTTTCAAATTGGTTCGTGTTCCACTGATGTTCAGCCCTAATTATTGGGCAAGAGCCATTTAGACCGTGAAAGTACTTCCACAGCATTGATGTTCAAGTCTACTGTTATTTGTTTATGCCATTGCTAGACCTATATGTTTGTCACATGCAGGTGCGAAAAATACATCATGGGTAATAACGTAATTATATCGTGATAGTGAACTTATGTGAGCTGTCTTCAAAATTCTTCAAGAGTGTTTCAGAATACCTTGGCATTTTCGTCACATTCTGCAGACTTCTCCAGCTTCGACATTCCACATTTGTTTAGCCTTTTAGGCTCCACTCAGGGCGCGCTTCAACTGCCGCCGTGTGGCCATGCCGGCAGTCTCGCTGTTGACCTTTGATGAGAATAATCCCAAGGCACTGGGCATTGGGCCTACAGGAATCCGATGCGATCTGTGAATGGATTGGTTTTGTTGGGAAAATCTTAACCGGAAACCATGGATTTTCATTGGATTTTCCCACTGAACATGGGGTTTTCCCGTAAATTTTCCCTTAAACCAATCCATTGAATCTGGGCATTGGTCCAATCTGTTGCATGAAGCATGGCTTTTTCCAGTACTTGGAAGACACTTCAGGCGTCCACTGATCATCCATCCACTGATTGAGGTATGTGACACCATGGCAAGCGTAGGAGATTGATTGTTACTGTGAAATCAGTCAAAATTCCGTGCGTTGGACATGATGTTTGATATTGTTTGATCAGTGTCCCCACATGTTCTATCCTCGAATGTTTGGATCCGAACTTTGGCTAATTGCTTTGCCCGATTTCTGGTTGGCTCACATCGGACGCTCCAAACACGATCAGGCCGTGATTTCATCACCTCGATCCTTACAAGCATGCAAGTGGCTTGGCAGAGCACATGTGGATCTGGGTAAAGGGACTGGTGAAGGGAAATTTTCTGGGTGAGATGTTGGCAGGTCTTCGGCAATATTGTTGGGGAAAATTTTGGGTAAGCCCCTTTTGGTAGGTGACTGGATTGAGATTTGGCCAAGATTTATAATTTAGTGGGCAGTGCCATGGGATGAGGCTGCTTGCGCCCGGCACCGTTTTTACAGCCCGTGTCTACCAGAGTTATATAGCTCGGCGCCAAGCTGTAGACATAGGACACTGATTCCTCAACCATTGGTATTCCATTAGCCTTGAGCGCAGGCAAGAGGGCATTCTACCAGAAGAGCTCATCTATAAGCCTGTCACCCAGCTGCACAATGGCCAATGGCTGGCAAGGGGCGTCCTGGATGCGGGTGAAAAGAGTTGCACCATGTTTTTCGATGAAATGATTAACCATGGATAACCTCAAGTGGAAAGAGGTTGGCGGCAGTTCACTTCTGACCTTTGGACACGGCTGATTCTGGTCGCTGGTTTCTTCTCCATCAATGATCAATCATTGACTGACCTATTGTTCAGGGAAGTTGAAACTGTCAACAAGTAACATAAAGTAACCCCATTCCTCCAATATTGATCAAGTATCCCCTGTATTAACATATATGAATATGTATTAAGATTATTAAGATATGTCAAGATATATTAATATGTTAAGATATGTTACATAAGATATATAAATATATTATATATACCAATATAAATATAAAAAGATATATTAAGCCTCCCATCTCCTAGTAAGATATATGAAGTATTCCCCAGATGGGCCCCAAAATGAACAGATCCACAGGTGGAGGCCTTCCATGACAAGAACCTGTCGCCGCGCTTGGTGAAACTCAGGAGCCGTGGCTTCAAAATGCGCGCAATTCGATCCATACTCGGTTTCGGACTCACGCCCATATATTTATAGTGGTTTATAGTGGTTTATAGTGGTTTATAGTGGTTTATTGTGGTTTATAGTGGTTTATAGTTGTTTATGTGTGCATATATGCATTTTATAGAGTTTATAGTGGTTTATTGTGGTTCATATCCCACATGTAATGGTATATGATCAGTTTGATCGTATTTAATTCTTTGAAATTCTTTGTTTTATATGTTTATACATATATGTTATATGTTAGAACCAGCGGTTGTGTATCATTTTGGTGGATCCTGACGTATAAAATTGTGGGTTCTGAACCTGTTTCTTAAATCTCAGAACCTATTATAGTAAAATTTGGTTATCTCAGAATCTATTGCCAATATGTTAACATTTAGGTGGTTTGAAGGTGATGCAAAAGCCTAGAAACGGTTCGGAACGGTTTGGAACGGTTTCCAGGGCAGTTGTGTACTTCCGGAAACGGTCGGGACGGTTTCTGAGATGATTTCTTTCTATGTGCAGAAACGGTTCGGAACGGTTTGGAACGGTTTCAGACTTTGATTTCTATTGCCTATAGCGGGTTCTAAAAAAAACCTTTCAGGTTCTGAACATTACCATTCAGGTTCTGAACATGGACCATTCAGGTTCTGAGGCCACAGGATGATACACCACCCCTGGTTCTAAGTTATATGCATACAACTATCTGGGTAAATTACAACGACCTCACTGCGACATCACTGGAATCATGATTAATAAGGGGCGATCATCCCAAAATGGCCCAACATTTCAGGCTAGTGAAGTATTATATTTTACCCAGATATATTATATATGCATATTAATTATGTATGTGTGTGTGTGACCTGGTTTCCGCTGTGAGGTTCGACTTCTTCGAGGCCAAAAGGAGAGATCTGCTGGCCGCAGCGCGGAGGGCGCGAGAACATCTGGTGACAGAAACCAAGGAGAATCAAAATCAACAGCTGGCCATGGCGACTTGGTGACATGAACAAAACATATCCTGTTTTTGAGACTTGAAAGATTTATCTGATTCTATTTTTTTGTGTTTTGTTTTTGCATCAAACACCCACATAAAAATTAGGTGCATCAACATGGGATGATGAAACGGATGAGAACAGCAAGCCACCCCTTTCTGAAGCCCAAGATTTGGTCAATCAACTGCGGAAATATATGACACGACTGGATGTGCCGGATTTTGAGCAGGCGCCAGGCTGGTGGTTTCAAGCGCTGTTTATTACCAAAGCCTGTTTTTTAGAAGATGATAACTATCTGTGGGATGAGTCGCCAAGGGGATTTGTTCCAAGTTTTTGGGCCTTGGTTGGAGATGGCTGGCCGAGGTCGCACAAGAAAGTGGCCTGAGCAAAGGACACTTGGCTTGGACGCAGTGATCAGTGATGTGGGTTTCCCCCAAGGCCATAAACCTACCATTCGAGCATGGTTTACAGCACCCATACCCTCTGGTAAACTAACATAACTATGGAAAATCGCCATTTTTAATGGGAAAATCCACTATAAATGGCCATTTTCAATAGCTATGTTTGTTTACCAGAGGGTAATTCTGATTTTGGGGATTGTTTTTTTTATTTTATTGGGTTTTGAAGGACATATGGCATCCTGACTCCTGATGGTGATTCTCCCCTGGGATTGATAATATGTTTGCATCTCTGCAGAAAATCCCATCTCCACTTGGTGTACACCAGTTTTTGTCATTTGTTTACCCTCTGGTGAACTAACATAGCAATGGAAAATGGCTATTTATAGTGGATTTTCCCATTAAGAATGGTGATTTTCCATTGCTATGTTAGTTCACCATTTGTTTACCCTTGGTTTATTCATCTGACAGTGGGATGATGATCCCCTTGGGGACCTAACTAGTCGGCTTCCCCAAACCCCGGGGCGCCTCGGCGCCGAGGCGCCATCCTGGCCTTGAACAGCGACACCTTGAAACTGGAGCGCCAGAAACTGCTCAGAGCCCAAGAGACGGAACGACACCTGGCGGGTGGGGCTGGTGCCCGGTGGGGAAATACCCACATTGTGGGTGTTAGCAAAAGGGAGAGGTGGCTAATGTTTTCTTGATTGGTTTTTTTGTACATGTTGAAAAACCTGAATGAAAAGTGGCTTGTCCATTCACTCTTTTTGTGGCTGCTTTTTGACAACCACCTGCGACCAGACTCTTTGAAGTGTCTCAATCTAGCGTTCCAGAAACGAATTGTGGCAATGCCGTATTGGCTTCTGTTGGCACACGCTACAGGCATCTACAGCCTGTTTCTGTTATTGCTGTTGCCTTTTTTCATTTGGATCTAGAATCATCTAGAATCTATATGCTTTCCCATTTTACCAAAAGAATCCAAAAGAAACACCAACACCGTCATCCCATCACGTTTGCCCGAGAATTGGTTGAAGGGATATTCAAGACTCCACCTGTATTTGAGTAGAAATAATGATATCCACATGTTATACACATGTTTCCCCAGAAAACGTCCTTAACCCAATCCAAAATCAGTTTCTTCCAACTGGCCACCAGTTTCGGAAAGTGGTTGAAATAAAGCCTAGGAGTTGCTAATGAAATAAAGCAACCATTAGTTCCCAGGCTTCCTGATATGGTAACCTCCAAAAAGATACAAATTCATAAAATCCAGTGATATAATACATCACTTAAGTCTATTTTTGTTATATATATATAGGCTGTATATATATATATGTATAAGCTGTGCATATATATATACACACACATATATATATATTGTGTGTGTGTGCCTTATATGGCATAAAAGTATAGAAAAGTTACTTAAAACTGTCACTGAGGAAAGTGGTTGAACCAGGCCTTGGAGATCGAGTTGAAAAACCTCAAGGACTTGGAATCGGCCAATGAGTTCTTGGACAGCGCCGCCAAAGACACGCAGGTGCCGTGAGATCCGTGGAAGACCGGGGAAGATTCCATGGTTTGAAGGAACACATCGCTATTTAACTTGGATTTCCACAAAAAGATGGTGGGAATTTTCGGGAATATTTTTTTGAAGGGGAATAAGTCTGTGTAAAAAACGTCTAGAATCTTCCCAAGAATAGAAAGGCACTGAAACTGGGGCATGGATTCTGTTCAGGCGTACTTCCGCGAGCAGTCTCGGAAGATGTGCCTTGGCAAATGTTGCTGCAAGAGCCAATACGCACCTCATTGGCCAAGCCCCTACATGAAGGTTATAAAACATGGCTACTACGTAAGGCTTGGTAAGGAGGTCCACTCCAAAATTGGACAACTTTTTTTTATGTTATTTCAGCGAATGTGCACATTCGACTTGTGATTCTTGTTATGATTTTGCCACGTGATTTCTAGGCATGACCCTGACCCTGTCTCACCACTCACGGGCGACCAGTCAGAGCGACTTTTGTGAGGAAAGAGATGAACGACCGCCGGGCGGCGGAAGAAGAGCGAAAGCAGTTGGAGACTTGGCATTGCAAGTCCGACCGAAAGGATCAGGATTTCATGGGATTTCAGATTGTTTCACCGGCCAAACTATACATTATGTGACTTGATAAATAGCAACCCCAAAAAGATAGAAGCTGGCAAAAAACATCTCTGAAATAGATCGAACTAGTGATGTAACAGTGATGTAGAAAAAGAAAGTTGTGATAACTCTTATGTATATATATATATATATCTCTCTCTCTTTTTGATGGTCAGTATGGGTTGTTTTCGGATTTGTGTCTTGGCAAATTTGCTGGTGAACAGATGATCTTTCTTTCTTTAGAGGAATAGACTGCGACATCCGCTACGATTGTCTCCCTGGTGGAGATCTGACCACCACAACTGAGCTGGGGAACCATACCCCCCATTGGAGTAGCCGCTGGTTGAATCGTGAAATCCAGGATTTTTTTTGGGCTGACTGAACCGCAGATTTAACTGTTGACAATGGTTAAAATATATTTGGATGTTACTTTTTCCTCTATAAAATGGCGGGTTTTTTTCCTCTATATATTCAATGGGAATTCCAGGATCCTAAAATGGAGGTACTGTATAAGGCCATATTTTCTGGGGATATTCCCTGAAACTAAGGCCTAAAAAATCGGCCTTATATATGGTAGGTACCTCCAATTTAGGATCCTGAAATGGCCATGGTTGGTGGCCACAAGCCCCCGAAGCCGCCACCGTTCTGGCCAGGAAATGGAGGCCCGGCAGAAGTTGGAGAAGCAGCTGGCAAAGGCGGGGCTTCATGTCTTAATGGCTGTTTTTAATGGCTGGTAATGTGAAGTTAGGGTTCTTGATCACGATGAAGTCCCAACTTTATATCCGGTTCTTTAATGTTCTTTAAATTTTCCCATTGGTCAATTCACTGTTTGGGGAATCTACTGGTACTATGTTTCGGGGAAGGATTTAGTGAATTGGATTCCAAGGATTGACCTCGAAACTGGGTCAACCTTGGTTGGGTAGTTTCATGCTGTACCCGACTGGTAATTTGACAGAACTGATGGGAAAATCCACCAACTTTTTCATGGGAAAATCCACCAAATTATGATGATGATTTTCCCATCAGTTATGTTAAATTACCAGAGGGTAGTCATCTGTGGTGTTTTATTGCACTTTGGGAGGGAATACAAAGCAAAGCTACAAAGGAATGCAGGGTATCGATAGGGTTAGTCATGTATTTTTGGAGCTGGATCTGTTTTTTTATTTGAGGTTGCATGGAGGGGGCAGTCTTTTGAATTTTTGTTATGGTTTGACTATGGCTCATGGTCCCCACGAAGAATTTTACATGTACTGGATTGTCCCGCTGAACATTTTCAGTGGCGTTTCTCATCACATTCATGTGGTAGTCTCTTTGCCCTTGGTTTGTTGGTGGATTTTTATTGCTAATATAGTTACACGATCTTACGCAATTCTTGTTACCAGTAATCGCATTTGAGCGATAGATCACACATAGTAGATCTCTCCAGATATCCCCAGTGTTGTTGGTCAAGTACTCTTTTGAGCGACGTTCAAAACACGTGTTGATTGATACTTCTAGCGCCTATATAGGGGTTATCCTATTTAAGATGTTGGAGATTATAACAATCCATTAGTATCCACTATATACCCTCTGGTGAACTAACATAGCAATGGAAAATGGCCATAGAAATAGTGGATTTTCCCATGAAAAATGGGGATTTTCCATTGCTATGTTAGTTCACCAGAGGGTAACCAACCAGTTTTTAAGGGTTGCAACCATTGATTCCCAGCTCGGGGAGCAGCTCCCCTGTCCAACAACGGGCGGAGGAAGAGTTTCACCGACAGCAGCTGGAAATGCAACGGAAGAGGACTGGACAGAGCGACTGGTGCGGGCAAGGTGTGTGGATCATTTTTGGGTACTATACATGGATCAGTATGGCAGGTATGAACCAGCTATTGGGCAGGGTGTATATGATCGAATACGTTGCTTTTTTTATATCTAATTATTAGCAGATTCCTGGTTGACCATTCAATTGTTTGGGGATCTACGGTTATCTAAGTAAAAGCTACAAGGATCAGACCCCTTAACCTTAACCCATTACAACCAGTAAAACCATGTAAGACCTTGGTGAATGGTGGGGTTAATGGGCCCAAGCTTTGCAGCTATGCCTATGCCTATGCCTATGCCCTGCTTGGGGGTCGGGCCTCGACGCAGGAAGGAAGAGGCCAAAAGGCTAAAAGAAGCGCATGAAAGCCACTGGGCTTTGTTGGTTGTTGTTTGTCTGTAACAAAAAATGCCCAAATTATATCAAATTATCATGCTCCATCATTTTTTCCGTTTTTTCCCCATTAAAACCGCCATATAAATTGTGGCCTACGGCATCAAGGACTCACCCGAGAACCACGTGGGGTGCCGGGTGGCGTGCAGGGATCAGTCTTAGGACAGCTCAAAGAAGCTGAGAGGAAGCGCGAGATCGAACGTGAGAAGGCGGCCAAGCGAGAGCAGGTCGGCAGGGCAATTTGGTGTTGGTGGTGGTGGTGGTTAGACGCCCTGCTTTGGATGAAAGATGGGAGATCCAAGGATCCAAGGTTGAGAGATGAAGATATCACCATGTATCCCCCAAGATCCCCCAAGATCCCCCAAGGGTTGGAAGTTGTGTTTTAGCAGCTGTAAGCGGAGGTCTTAGTTTAGCCGACTGCCGCAGCCGGTCTCCAGGAGCATCGGGAGCTCCAAGCGCGGAAGGAGGAGATGCGGGCGCAGGATCAGCGCAGGATGGACATCATGGCGCAGAAACAGGAGGCCTTCCAGGACTGAAGCCCTGTTGGGGTACGACAAAAGATGGGTTTTGGAGGCAAGCATGTTTTTTTGTGGCTGTGTTGAGGGGTATTGATCCTTGCTCAACTGGAACTGGGCTTTCAGCCGACACTTTTGAATTGTGATGAGCTTCTGGTGGGAGGTTGCATCCCCAAGCTGTGCTCCACGAGGAGTTTATGCGCGAACGGAAAGATGCAAGAGATATGAAGATCTACAAGAGCATCCTCGCGACTCTTGGCAGCAGTTCTCCAACCTCCCTTGGAGCTCTTGTGGTGAAGGGAACATCCCAAATTCAGGGCCTCCAAGTTCGCGGGAGCCGGGTTTTAAGGTCAAAACCATTCAAATTGATCTTTTCTTTGGGGTAGAGATGCAGGAAGCCACCACTTCTGCCAGGAACCAACACTTCGAGCAGAAAAGGCGTGACGATTTCGAGAAGAAGCAACAAGATGAAGCTTCAAGGGAGGAGAAGGGCAGGGTTTGAAGCCACAAATATTGACTGATTTGTATCTAGTAGTTAATGTTTATGAAATTCATACTTGTAACTCTATACGTCCATAAGTTGAAAAGTTACTGCATTACTAGAGGTTGATACGTGCGGAGCTGGCTTACAAAAGGGATGATTCAAATCCACCGTGGGAGAAGCTGACGCAGGAGCGTTTGTTGCAAGCCATGGCTGAAAAGCAAGAGGAAAATGCCAAGAAATCTTTCCAGACCCTGTCACTTGACACATCTTGGATCATCTTGGTGCCATGATCTGGATCTATGTTTGAGAAAATATATGAACATCATTGAAATCTTCAGGGCACAATGTGAATAGTACATATATATATATATATATAGATCCAAACGCTTAAGGGCTAAACATTGGTCCAGTGATGATGATGATGATCATCATCATCATCATTATCATCATGGTGTTTAAGACTATTAAGATGGCTGGCTGGTGCTGATTTCGTTATTTCCCCTTTGTGGTTGAAGAGGTAGTGTCACCTCAAATGTTGGCTCGTGGGGCAAGCTAGCAGATGTGAGATCAAATGTCTCACCAGTTGGCGCATGGGATATGATATGATACACCTCTATATATATATATATGGTATATAGTGGTAATTAGATGGAATCAGGATCCTGGTAGGCACGGCCACGCAGACACACAGATCACAGATCTGTAAATACAGCACCGTGCGTCCAGTACAGTGCATCATATCAGTTATATTACATCACAGTACATTGCAGTGAATTGCATTTCATTTGGTTAATCCTCTCTCCCTATTGCTAAAACACCCCCCCAAATGGTAAACACGGTGATCTGTTTTTGTTATTAGGGGGTATTTTAGGTGCCCCTAATATTCCAACGAAAACCTTAATAAGAAACATAAAGAAAGACTTGATTTCAAATTTGATTAAATCCCCTATTAAAAATATTGCCAAAAACTGGATTTCGAAGCCTTCCCCCAATATTCCAATGAAAACCGTAAAAATAAAATAAAAGATAACACTTGTGAAATGGGACCCTAATAAAAAACCTCCAGGTACCATTCCATTATTAAGAAGGGGTTTAACCCATTGTTTCAACATCCTGTTCTCCTATTGATTCTCAATTACCACAATTAAGAATCCAATTGTGCCCAACCAATTTAAAGGAAGTGCTACACCAATCCTTTTTTTTGGGGGGGGAGTTTTAGTAATAGGAAGAAGGGATTACATTGCATTAGATTACATTACATTAAACTACGCTATATATAATACATGGTGGCACACACACACATTTATATGACACATACTTTCTATAGTATTATATACACATCATTTGATATGAACTTTCACATGCAAATCGAATTGCCAATAAATCTGTTTGATAAATTTCTCCGCCTTACCGCCTTCCCAGGATGCGCCGGAAAGTCATTGCGGAAGAAGGTGCCAAGAGGGCGGAGGATCGGCGGCAAGCGATTCTGGACCAACAGGAGGAGGGCCGGGGCTGGGAGAGACCAAAGGTAAATTATATGGATTATAGATTATTATAGATTATTTATATGAATATGGATTATCTATATGGATTAATATATATATGATATTATATGGATTATCTATATGGATATTATATGATATTATAGATTATAATATAGTATTATCTAGTGCTTTTTGTGGCAGAAGTGCTGAGAGTTAATAAGCTGTACACGAATCCCGAAACTGTTTGGACGTTTGGTTTAGTGGTTGCAATCAACGCCTATTCAAAAATCAGCAGATCCTGAAATGTGTTCAAGGTTTGGAAGCATCCTACGAAAATAAAAAAAAACAACCTCGAGGCTAAAATTCTTTACGCCTCAAATGTTACATAGTTACATATGGTGACCAATGTGTGACCAGTAAACCTGTGGTTTTTTTTGGGGGTGTGAAATGGGATGATGATCCCAAATGGCTTTCCCCAGCCTAACCTCTCCCCGTGGCCTCCAGGAGACCGAATACCGGCTGATGGAACATGAAGCCAAGAAGGTGGGGCAAGAAAAATTGACCACCGGGGGATTCTGATCGATGTCTTCGAGCAAACAAAAAAATGATGTGTTTTTTTTCCAGCAAAAATATTGAGTGTTCTATACAATATAGTGTTCTTTTTTTTGGGGGGGAGGAGTGGTGGTGTTTTCACCCACAATTGGGGGTAAACCCCGTCTTCCGACACCCTGTGTGGGTCTTGTATTGCTCCTCGTTATTTTTGTAGCACATATGTGGACTTCACCAGAGAAAAAAGTAGCCTGAATGGAGATGTTACGCATTTGTGAATCGTAGGTGAATGGGTTCATTGTCTTTAGTTGCGAACCGAAACATATACCCTCTGGTTATTTGACGTAGCCATGGAAAATCACCATTTTTAATAGGTAAAACCATCTATAAATGGGCCATCTATACCATGGCTATGTTAGTCACAACCAGATGGTAACAGCAACTCACCTGAGCTCCTTGTTTAAAGGCGATCTACGATTCCCCATGGTTACGAGGGTCACATTCTGATTGCCCTAAAGTCGTGGCCATTGCCGCCATTGGGATCAAAGATCACTTCACCTGATCAAACCTATCACCAATCATAGAGCCTTACTTTGTAAAGTTATATTATATATAATTATATATATATATCTATGCTTGAATTGACATGTGGCAGCTGCTAGTCGTCTGTGGTTGTGGCTGTGACTGCTTGTGGTCGTAGTGGTGATCTTGTGTCTGTTTCTGGTTGTGATTGTTGTTTGTTGTTGCTGTTGTTGCTGTTCTTTTTCCTTTTCCTTTTCTTGTTCTTCTGCTCCTTCTTCTCTTTCTTGAACATTCTTTCTCCCTGGATTCGGAAGCCTTGGAAGCCTTCCGCATTCCTTGCCAGGGTTGCTGCGTCTATAGTGCACATATTCACATCTAGCACTTGCCAACTCAAGCACCAAACATGATGTCCCACGAGCTTCCCAGGAGCGCTACTTGGATTTCAAGCGCGAACTGGACGGCCTGCGTGCCAAGAACAAGGAAGGGTGAATGGAAAGGAAGCAATGGGTGAAGGTTGGTGCAGCTTTCCCGTTGTGATAGTGGCTTGTGTTTACCGGAAGGTATCAGTCGATAGCGGCGCATCAAGGATGTTCCGCCAAAGTTCCCCCATGAATATTCCCATGCAAATCACCATGATATTCCATGATATTCCCATATTTGCATATATTTGCATGAATAGCTACTGCAATCCCAAGATATTCCTATGGATTCCCATGAAATCACCATATTTTCCCATGGCTTTCTTGCCTGGGCGCTCGCCCTCCAGGAGATCAACGTGGAACGGCAGCGGCGTCGCGAGGATGCGGAACGCGAAGCCATCGCGGAGGCGGTGAAGAAGAAGGAGCGGTGAACAACGGTGATTCAGTTAAGTTAATGATCCCATATAGGATCCATGTATGCTATATATGGTAACATTTACCATCAATATACCCCCAATGTTAGCATATATATACCATACATGGATCCTATGGGGATTGGAATTACTCGTACCCTCTGGTTATGACTAAAATAGCTATTGAACATGGCCATTTGGTTCGTTGATTTACCCATTCAAAATGGTGATTTTCCGTAGCTATGTTAGTTTACCAGAGGGTATGTGGCGGAAAAATGTGGAAATATGATGAAATATGTGGATATGTGAGATACAGTAATTAATGAATGATATATGATTATATGTGACATATGATATATGGAGTCTCTTAGTGGGGCTCAAATTCTATGACACATAATTATCCTATGATTATATATATATATGTGTGTGTGTGTGATATTGTATCAGACTATGAAATGCTGTGTGGCATTATACTGCCAGGCTTCCCTATTGACCAGCCCGCACTATGACAAGGAGGTAGCACATGCTTCCTGTGTGGATGAAATGACAATGATCAAATTAAATGATGTTATATTATATCATATCGTCAAATGATATTGTACTGCAATGGTTTCTCGTTGTAATGTTTGGATGATTTGAATTGACATTTACTGAAAAATGCAATGTTTACCGTTCAATACCCAACGGGAAGCATTTGCCCGGTACATATACATACACACACATATACATATACATGTATATATTTTTACGCGTGCATATAAACATTTGAGCCACAACCATGTATGTTAACTGTTTCAGATCCCATTCAATGATTTGGTTCTACTCACCTATCACAACCAACATCTTTCCCAGGTCCATGGTGTGTTTGGTTCTTTGGTTGAAGGAACAAATTATATACAGGGAAAACGCATATTTTCAATATTATATCACTATATATTATTCATGATTAGGCCACATTTGATGATGAACAAATCTGGTTTCTGGATGTTTCTGGTTAATATTTCGCCACACAAACAACAGAAAAATGTTGTGTATCAAGTCGTTATTAGCCCAATTCGTCCGTAAGTCATGCATGTTTTCCGATGTTGTTCCCTTTAACCATCCTTCCTTAAAGCATCTTAGTACGCATTAAAGTGCATGATAATCCCGTGACAGCATCATTGAAACCTATAAATGGCCACTCAATACCATTAAAATATATGAACCCCCACTAAACCATCATGAAACCTCCAATGAAATCACCATGAAATACTATTCAAACCAACGTACCACCATTAAAACTCACTAAACCACCATGAAATCACCATGAAATCCCCTATGAAATCACCATGAAATATCATGAAATACCATGAAACCAACTTAACCATCATTAAAACTCACTAAACCAGCATAAAATCACCATGAAAAGCCATTAGAACCCACTAAACTACATTAAAAACCACTTAAACCCCCATGAAATCCCAAAGAAACCCCTGGAATTTCCATAGGATGAGAAGATCGACCACCTGAACGCGGAGCGGCAGCGCATGTGGGAGCTGCGTAAGGCCGCACAGGCTGAGGCCTACAAGGCTCGAGAGTGCGTCAAGGAGGAGATCCTGAAACAACGCAGCATGGCTAGGGCTAGGGGTTTCCGAATGAATGGTGGTACCCTCATCTTCAGTGATTTTAAGATGGAAAACAGTGATAAACCCCGAGATTTGGGGTGCCTAATTTTCAGACAAACCTAATCATCTATCAACTAACTAATTAAGTGGGATTTACCCTCTGGTAAACTAACATCACTACGGAAAATCACCATTTTATAATGGGTAAATCCACTATTTCTATGGCCATGTTCAATAGCTATGTTAGTTTACCAGAGGGTACCCTAAAAATCCCTAAAATGGATTGGTTTTTATTGTCAATGGCCATTTCAGGAACCGATTGATTGGAGGTACCTACCATATGTAAGGGCTATATAAGGCCTATGTAAGGGAATATCCCCACAAAATATGGTCCTATATGGTACAGTACCTCCATTTTAGGATTGTGGAAAATCCTAAATAAAATGGATGAGAACTGGGGGTACCCCGTATTTTAGGAAACCCTCATTTGGGGATGGTTTTTGGATGGTTTATACAGTACCATTCATAAAAAAATGTGATTTTTGGGATGGTTTTATCATTGGATTTACCAAATGAAGTGAGAAACATGGTGATTTAACCAACAGAAATGGTGATTTGGCTAAGGAAAATTTGGAGTTAAGCAACAACAATGCCGAATTGTTCCTATTATCTATTTAGGTGTGTTTAAAAATGATGGATACCATTATTGGTGGCGGTTTTCAGAGGGAACATTGATGTTCGCACACCAAATGTTAAACCTTAAAGCCATAAAGCGTCCCAAAATTCATCAGAAATGGATGGTATGAACCATCCCTAACAAAAGGTTTATCGGAGGTTGACTCTTGTGGTAAATCCAAATGGTAAACAAAAAGCAAACCATACCAACTGATCTTATAACATGGGTGTCTTGTACTGACTGTGAGATCCCCGCATTGCTGGTGGTTCACGGTTGGTGGTGGCTAGAAGATCCCACCGCGCCAAGGTATCGAGTCCAAATTTAACTCCAAGAAGGTCGAGGGAAAGCGTCTTGGTGGCAGGGCCGGCCAATCGAATCTCCAGCCCAAACGGTTTGGGATGGTGATCCAAACTTGACCTATGGCGCAAGAATGTTGAACCATGTGGAATATGTTAAATTGCTTTGATGCTTTAAGACTTAGAATCAAACAGAACTTCGAACTACTCCCCATTGTTTAGGCCTTGAGGCCATTTTTTAAGCCATTGACAAAGTTCTTTGATCTTCGTGGGGGATTTTTCGATGCTGGCGGTGTTGACTTTGATGGCCAGCTGGTCCGCAAGAGCCCGGTGTTCAAGTTGACCACCGCCTACCGTCCTATATACATTCATACTATACTTAATATACCCTCTGGTAAACTAACATAGCTATGGAAAATGACCCATTTATAGATGGTTTACCTATTGAAAATGGTGCTTTTCTATAGCTATGTTAAATTACCAGAGGGTACTGGTTTATGCTCGCAGGGATGGCAATGAGATGTATTTTCTATCAGCTCAGGAAATTCAGGAATATGTTTTATGCTCATGAAGTTTTATAAGTAATTACCGGAGGCAGTAGAGGGTGGAACCACCCCAAGGGAGTTGAATCCGTAGGCGTCCTTTTCGAACTAGTTGATTAATACAAGTCGTCACCTCCACCAAGATGTAAATAGTCAACAGTCTGGGTAACCCCACTATAATGGATGACCCAAAATGGGGGTAACCCATCTGTTAACAATATTTAACAATCAATTTTTAGCAAATCATGTAGATCCATTTAGTCCAAAGATTTTCCCATTAAAACATCCGTTTTCATGGGGGAGTTCCCAGCCTATGCCAAGGTTGGGTACCTTGATGCAGAGCGACCTCTTTAGCGCCAAGATCCTCCAGAGCACCTCCGTCCCTGCGCTGCACTGAGTGCGAAGCCTTGCGAAGCCTTGCGGCGTTGGGGGATGAAGGACGATAAGGACGTCACTTGCAATGACCCTGCAAAATCTCTGAAGGCAAAATCTTTGAATTTCGTTTCTGGGTGAGACTTCACCCGAAGCTATTGTAGATCATTCTTGGATGGATAAAGATGAGGTCGAAGCAAGTTCTGCGTCCATGTTAGCTAGGTCATTGAACTTCCCATTACAGGCTGCCAGTCCCACGGGCGAGCTGCGACATGTCAGCCCTTTGGGAAGTTCTCCTTGTCATGATCTCTTGAAAAAGGAGAGACCAAGACATAGCTGAGCAGGGCCCGGCAACCTGACAGTTGGTAGCCTGTTGGTCCCTGGTGTTCTGAGTTTTGTACCAATCAGTAACTATTCAATAGACTGTCGCAAGATTCAGTGTTTGCATGTATTCCAGAGGTTGTTCCTGTGACTGCAGAAAGCTTCTGTTCAGCGTGAACTTATTCAGCTATGCCTGACCCCTTCAAACCAACACCTCGCCCATTCGTATCGTGTCTCATTCGCAGGCAGAGGACAGCAGCCAAAGATGGATATATCTCCACTGAGAACCTAAGAGGCCAATTCCATTCCTCAAATTTCACTGAAGTTGAGCAATTACTTCCTGTATAGCAAAACCCAAGTGAAAAGATGTCGACATAATTCATCTCTAGATTTCATCACTTTCATCACTATTCGCGTGTTGCTTAAAGGTATCTTTTTTCCCCACCTGCCAGGTGAGGGTTGTTAGATTTTATGTCAGTTGCCTGGTCCTCCTCGTCCTCCTCCTTCTCCTCCTCCTCCTCTCGTTGTCCTCCTCGTCCTCCTGCTCAACTGCGACTCGCGATCCACAGTGTTCGCTGTCGGACCTCAACCACGACCATCCACGCCCAGTGTTCCCTGCCGGACCTCAACCACGACCAACCACGACCATCCACGCCCAGTGTTCCCTGCCGGACCTCAACCACGACCATCCACGCCCAGTGTTCCCTGCCGGACCTCAACCGCGAGTATCCACGCCAAGTGTTCCCTGCCGGACCTCATGTGGGAAGATATGGGACAAAGAATGTGCAGAAGAAAGTTAGAAAGAATGTCAGAAAGAATGTCAGAAGATATGCCAGAAGATATGCCAGAAGATATGCCAGATAGAATGCCAGATAATATGCCAGAAGATATGCCAGATAGAGATGACAGATAGAGATGCCAGATAGATTTGCCAGATAGAAGAATGCCAGAAAATATGCCAGAAGATATGCCAGATAGATATGCCAGAAGATATGCCAGAAGATATGCCAGAAGATTTGCCAGAAGATATGTCAGAATATATGCCAGAAGATATGTCAGATAGAATGCCAGAAGATATGTCAGAATATATGCCAGAAGATATGCTAGATAGAATGCCAGATTGAATGCTAGAAGATATGTCAGATAGAGTGCCAGAAAATATGCCAGATAGAATGCTAGAAGATTTGCCAGATAGAATGCCAGAAGATATGCCAGAAGATATGCCAGATCATATGCCAGAAGATATGCCAGATAGAATGCCAAATAGAATGTCAGAAGATATGTCAGATAGAATGCCAGAAGATATAAATGTCATGGTGGGGATCACACGAAGTAAAGTAATTGATTTTTTTGTAAACCCAGGTCCCCGAACGAGACACGTGTGTAGCTCGAAGGAGGGTGTCAGGCGGTGTACAGGCGATTGGGCAGGATGCCGCGGGAGCGTTTTTTTGAGTGACTGGAGAGACCATGAGAGACCAAACGGTTGGTTAAATGTTGGTTAGGTGTGAAAAAAAGAGCTTCATAATGTATTTACTGTTCATAATGATGTCAAAACTAATAGTCTACTCTAGATGGCTGAGAAATATGGAGCAAATGGATCTAGTGAATGCCATTCCCGGCAAATGAACTCCTTTTTGCGGGGTATCTAAGATTGGCCACGTTGATACCTGTAGAAGTGAGACATCGCTGCCATCATCCCAAAACTGGGGCCAACTTGTAACTCAGATTCCAGTCCAAGCGCAGCCAGATGCCGCCCTAGTCACCCATTCCGTCCTCGTTTTTTCATCAAAAAATTCTGTGTTTTTGCTTATTCACTTCGGATGACAATGATGATAAACATGAAAACATGATAACTGCTAATGATTGAAGTCTTCAATCAGATGGGACATGTCCAAAACAGCACGCTGAAGACCCGATGAACTTTGACCCTTGTGCGTATGACTGGCTCACAGGCTCATGTCGCAATACCCTGCAGAATATATAACCCTGAAAAAGAATGGGTGTGTCTGAAAATGTGGCATACCGCTATATCCCCCAAATGGTTTTCTGGTTGGTGGTTTCAAACATTTTTTATGTTCCATCATGTATGGGAGAATCCTTCCCATTGACTTTCATATTTTTCAGAGGGGTTGAAACCACCAACCAGTTTTTCTTATAGGGAAAATTGAGGATTGATAATCGAATGTGCAGGTACCAATTTTGGACACAAACCCGAATCGCTCATCTCTTTCCTCAGCAAATTTTGGAGGGATTCTTGCTGAACCAGGCCTCAGCCGCGGCATTTTGCACCAAGAAATGGACGCAGTTCCAATCGTGCAAGTGTTCCATGACTGGTAAACTCGAATGTCTCACTTGATTCAGGAAACCTTGCCGCTGCATGTGAGGTGTTTTGAGATATTCGTATGACTACTGTATGAGTATACTGTAAGGGTATATCATGGCATGTTTTTTTTTCCAAAAAAATTGAACAATGTTTGAAGTATGGTCTTTTGCCCAAAGCCTCACCAGAGAGAAACAGACTGATGGCTGCCGTTTCACGACGAGCTGTCAGTGCAGCTGGCCATAAGTAAAAAACAAAGCTATCTGAAGTTAAAGAGGTAAGAACGCGCGGCTTTGGATGCGAAAAGGATGGAAAATGCACCATTACCTTCGGGTGTCGGGGCTCATGCAGTCGCTGTGAATGGCAGAAACTGAACTCACCATGTGTGAAAAGCATTGGATGATATTGATTGTATTTGTTTGAATTTGTGATGTACAGTAAATCTTCATAGCTTAGCATTCCTCTGTATATTGCTAATATGTAGCAACGTGCGCATGCCCTATCTTGCCCACTTGTACTCAGATTCACCGATATACCACTAGTTGCTGTAAATAAATCTGTATATAATATATATAATTATATTGTAATTATATATAATTAAATTATATGTATAGCGTAGGTGTTTAGACAGCCATTTTGTATGCCGTTAGTATCCTTATTAGTGTCATGGTGTCGTGTATGCCATGTCATCAACCCACCACCTTCCGCCCCTCGGCCAGGTCTCGCATACGCAATGAATGTGGCTAGCGATCCAGCCCAAGTGGCTGGATGCCGGGGGGGATGTTCCCAGCATTACCCTCTGGTAAACTAACATGCCTATTGAAAATTGCCATTTAGTTAGTTGATTTACCGAACTTAAAAATAGTGATGTTCCATAGTTATGTTATAAGTTTACCAGAGGGTAACTGATAGTAAACATCTACATGCTAGTGCACATACTAGTGTTAAATTAGACCGCAGGGGGTCTACTGCAAAATGGCAGCGCAATAGATGGCCTTTGGCGGCAGATGTTTGAACAACACCGATTCTTTGCTGGCTAATGGCCAATGAAAGTCCCACGAAATCTTGGTGTTTCACCCGGACTTCCGATGAAACCATGCCATGGGACCATGGCATATCTGAAAAACGCCAGGCCTTACAGATGACTCGGGTGCCCGGCAAGTTTGGGGTTGGCCCAGGCTGGTTCCTAGATGTTCCTAGGGAAGCCAAATGGCTACTTTACTTTCGGATTTTTCGATAGAAGTTACCCTCTGGTAATTTAACATAGCGGAACATATCACTCATTTTAAGACCAGCTATAGTCTTAGTTATATTTACAGTCAGTAGATACAACTATAGATATTAACCCAATAACTCTATAGGCCATTGTTTATAGTTATATCTACTGACTGTAGTTGAAATCCAGTCTCGGTGAATCCACCAAGATATCGCAGTAGATGGATTCAGTGGATCATTCCCCAACGATGACCCCCCCAACAGGTTTCCCCACATCATTTCGGGACCCCAAAGTAAAGACATTCACCACGGTCCACCAGGGGGATTAGGGAGTATGTACTGTTGGGGAGAAGAGGGTGGCTATTATTAGTCACTATCGTTAGTTTTTTTTAATGCATGTTTGCCTTCAACATCATCAGGCTTCATGATGATGATATGATGATATGATGATATGATGATGATGATGATGATGATGATGTTTTTCGGCTCCCGCCTCAAAGCATCATGGTGTGATTTATTTTTCAATCTTTGCGTGGAAAGGCGAGGAAACACACAGCGGTATCTTGCATGTTGACATGGCCATTTGATATATTTTCCTTTGCTGTTCTTGGCTCAGAAGTAGGTATCGAACAATTTTTCCTTTATTTTCGAGCGGTGAAGCACCAATGAGCGGCTCACAACCAGTTGATGCTTCCAAGGCGGAGTGCCAGCGGCTAGCGGTATACACTGCGCGGGAAAGAGGTAGATCAATACGCATACGGTTTTAGATCATGTGAATGTAAGAGACAGAGAGAGTGATTTGCCTGTTTTTGCCATAATTTTCTTGTTGTCACAGTTGCCTGACACGTGAAGAGTAGGCTCCTTCAAACGACTGGATGCTTGGCGCACAATGCGAACTCCAGGTGATCAATGGTTTTACTAGTACCGGATCATAAGATATAGATAGATTGTGATAGATTTAGCGTGCTTCATGGGGGCCCAATTGGGGGGTAGAACGATGACCCCAAATTGGCACCCTATTCTCGACCAGCTTGGCACCAGGTGCGATGGTCTGAGGGATCCAGTGATTTGCTCCTAGGAGCTTCAGTCACGCAGCTTGGCGGCCGGAGTTGCTCAGGTGATGATGTGAAACCTTTTCTGACCCGGCAACAAGAAATTCATAGATTTTTTAAATGTTTTTTTGAGGATTTCAGAAAAATCTTAAAATATATGTATATGTGCATCTGTATATGTCACAGAAAAAGAGAGCATTGATATTTTTCCGGTGCGTTCTGAATCTTAATCTTTATGTTTTAAAGCCAGCAAGATGCTTCGGTTCCACCAGATGCGGTGAACAACGGTACCCAATTTGGGTACCCTAAAAATCATATTCCAAAGTTGTTGGTTTCATGGACCATTTCATGGATGTCAATGTTTATTCCCCAGGTAATTAAAAACTAGACGACGGATGGCCCGAGAGCGTAGAGGAGCAGGGTCTTCTCTTGTTAGTATGGAGACACCATATTACAAACAATATATTAAAGATGTGTTATAGGCAGTCGAGAAGAGGAGTATCAAGACAAAATAGTAGAAGTGCAAGACAATAGTTTGCATCGCAAACACTTTTACACACAGAAGCTTTTACACACAGACGCTTTTACACACAAAAGCTTTTACACACAGAAGCTTTTACACACAGACGCTTTTACACACAAAAGCTTTTACACACAGAAGCTTTTACACACAGAAGCTTTTACACACAAAAGCTTTCACACACAGAAGCTTGTACACACAAAAGCTTTTACACACAGAAGCTTTTACACACAGACGCTTTTACACACAAAGCTTTTACCCACAGAAGCTTTTACAGACAGAAGTTTTTACACACATACGCTTTTACACAGATGCTTTTACACACAGACACTTTTACACACAGACACTTTTAACAAAGACCCTTTTACACACAGGAGTTTTTACACACAGAAGCGTTTACACGCAGACGCTTTTACACACAAAAACTTTTACACACAGAAGCTTTTACACATAGACGCTTTGACACAGAGGCACTTTTACACGCAAACACTTTTACATACAAACACTTTTACACACAAACATCTTTACACAGAAGCACTCTTACACACAAACCCGTTTACACACAAACACTTTTACACACAGAAGCTTTTACACACAGAAGCTTTTACACACAGACACTTTTACACACACACAGACCCTTTTGCAAACAAAGACTTTTACACACACACCCTCTTACACACAGACAGAAACTTTTACACACAAACCCTTTTACACACAGACACTTTGACACAGAAACCCTTTGCCACACAGAAGCTGCGACCCACGTACCCCATTTATACATTTACACACAAACACTTTTACACACAAACACTTTGACACAGAAACCCTTTGACACACAGAAGCTGCGACACACGGACCCCATTTACACACAGACCCTCTTACACAAACGCTTACACTCACACCCTTTTACATCCAACACCAGTTACATCACAATTTTACCTCGGTTTTTGCACATCGAGCCTCGTTTCATGCGAAAGGGTTGCTCCGGCACAAGTAAAATCGCAATTTTACCTCAGTTTTTACGCATCGACCCTCATTTCGTGCGAAAGGGTTGCTCCAGGACAAGTCCGGCACAAGTAAAATCGCAATTTTACCTCGGTTTTTGCACATCGAGCCTCGTTTCGTGCGAAAGGGTTGCTCCGGCACAAGTAAAATCGCAATTTTTCCTCAGTTTTTGCGCATCGACCCTCATTTCGTGCGAAAGGGTTGCTCCAGGACAAGTCCGGCACAAGTAAAATTGCATTTTTTCCTCAGTTTTTGACGATCGACCCTCATTTCGTGCGAAAGGGTTGCTCCGGGACAAGTAAAATCGCAATTTTTCCTCAGTTTTTGACGATCGACCCTCATTTCGTGCGAAAGGGTTGCTCCGGGACAAGTAAAATCGCAATTTTTCCTCAGTTTTTGACGATCGACCCTCATTTCGTGCGAAAGGGTTGCTCCGGGACAAGTAAAATCGCAATTTTTCCTCAGTTTTTGACGATCGACCCTCATTTCGTGCGAAAGGGTTGCTCCGGCACAAGTAAAATCGCAATTTTACCTCAGTTTTTGCGCATCGATCCTCATTTCGTGCGAAAGGGTTGCTCCGGGACAAGTAAAATTGCATTTTTTCCTCAGTTTTTGACGATCGATCCTCATTTCGTGCGAAAGTGTTCACGTTTCGTGACTCCCCGCCAGCACCACCCTCGGCCTAAAGAGAGAAAGATCAAGAAGGCGAGAGAGAGAGAAAAGGGAGAGAGAAAGGAGAGAGAGAAAGGAGAGAGGAAAGAGGAGAGAGAGTGAGAGAGAGAGAAGATGTGAAGATGAGAAGGTGTGAGAGAAGGTGTGAAGATGAGAAGGCGTGAAGATGAGAAGGTGTGAGAGAAGGTGTGAAGAGGAGCAGATGTGAAGAGGAGCAGATGTGAAGATGAGAAGGTGTGAAGATGAGAAGATGTGAAGATGAGAAGATGTGAAGATGAGCAGATGTGAAGATGAGAAGGTGTGAAGAGAAGATGTGAAGATGAGAAGGTGTGAGAGAAGGTGTGAAGATGAGAAGGTGTGAGAGAAGGTGTGAGAGAAGGTGTGAAGAGGAGCAGATGTGAAGAGGAGCAGATGTGAAGATGAGCAGATGTGAAGATGAGAAGGTGTGAAGAGAAGATGTGAAGATGAGAAGGTGTGAAGATGAGAAGATGAGATACAGACCCCCACTGTTGGAAGAACCCTGCGCTCAGACGCTCTTGGGAAAAAACTTGACGGTGATTCAAATATGAGTTTCTATCATAGCTGGGATGATGAACTCAAAACCGCCATTGCCAAATGGTTTGCAAATGGGTTTTCTATTGCCATTTTTGAGTGTCAGAGGGTAAGGTTTCAAGACGACTGAGACTTTGAATACCTCGATATAAGAATCATTTTTTTGATCCCCTCGTACATTGATTGATGACTATGACGATAACCATGATGATAATGACCGACCCTGAAGGAAATCCCACCATGAAAAGGTCCACAAGTAAACAACGGCTTTTGCGGGAGATTTCATTATCATCGTTGGAAGGGTTACAAACGCGAATCCTGACATACTTGCGTTAACTGAATTTCTTTGAAAGGTCAGGATAAAGATTGACTTGTTGATCCCTCAGGTACCGAGATGCTGGAAAGGCACCTGGCACAGGGCTGCCTGATACTACCAGATTTTTTTTGGGGGGAATATTATTGAACCATATTGAACCCTGGATCATTGGGGATTATACAGCTTTATTTGGGATTTATGCTATATACCTGGTTTGATACTACCTGATTCATATATACTGACAGCGTGATTCTGGAAGCCCCCTGGATGTTTAGTGTTGATGAGATCTTGGTCCGAATGCTTGACACGTCTTCACGCCACTTTTTTTTGGCTCGCTGTGCCTCTGATTTTCGATGTGTTTCTTTTGGGAAATCTTCCTGTTGGGAAATCTATGGAAGGAACAGTCCTATCCCCTTTACTTGAAAGACAACCCAATTTGGGGGATTCCAAAATATGTAAAGACATATCCAGACACATGTCACCAGGTTGTCCGGGGTCCATATTCATGTTATGACAAAAATAGATTGGACAAACCAAAAATGGCAATGAAGAGAGAGAGAGAGAGAGAACAAACATGAATATGTACCTTCTCAGGTAGAAAGAAGAAACATCATCTAGTTTCTCACATGCCATCAGTTGGTTTGTACGCCCATAGGGATATACAGAGATGTATAGAGATATTATGTGATATCTTGTGATATCCATTGTGATATCCATCACAATTCGTGGAAAGGGATCGTCCCCACATGGCCGGCTGATGCTCCCAAACCGAAGTTGTTTTATGTCTACTTAATTAATGGTGGATGTTATATATATATATATGCAACATGTACAATCACATGTAATCCCTGCTAAGTTGGCTTATGGTTATGTAACATAGCTATGGAAAACCAGCATTTTTAAGAGGTCAATAATCATGTTTTGATAATCGGACTAAATGGGTCATCTATGGTACATAGCTATGTTAAATAAACAAAGGATATATCCAATAGTATAAGGATATCATCATCACCAGTTAGTATGACTGATCGGGATATCCCTACTAAGTTATACCTACTAATAGATACACAATCCGGGATCTCCCAACTAAGTTACACCTACTATCATAATGTTTTATCATCATTCATAGATTAATCCTCTCCGGATGTCGGGATGTTTGAAGATTTCATTGAGGTTGTCATACCCAGAGGGTACCCTCTGGTAAACTACCAGGTTGCTATTGAAAATGACCATAGAAATCGTTGATTTACCCATTAAAAAATTTTCCATGGTTATGTTAGTTTACCAGATTAATAGGTATAAAGAGGTATAGAGTATAAAGGAACCATTTTTAATATCCTATAGATATCTTACCAGTTAATAGGTTTACCACATAAAAATAGGTACATCCGTAGGGATTGATTGAACCTGCGCTCAGCCCACCTGCGCCAGGAGTACGAAGGCATAGTGCAGGTTGCTGGTTTGGTTTTCGATGCGGGACGTTTCAGTAATGGAACAACGGGTGATACTATATATATTTTTAATATACATACATATACATACGCAATATATCCTGGAAGATGATATTTATATTTATATTTATATATTGTGTGTGCGCGTGTATATGGTTTATCTTTATATGCATCATTTAAATACAGTATGACCTACCTGGCTTAAGAGCATGCGGGGTATCTCGGACTGGCCATTTTCCAGGGAACATTTACCACATGTCTCGCCTCACCCAGAGTCCTTTGGTTTCCTAAAATGGGCGCTCCAAATAGACCAGGGTACCCCCATTTTAGGAAACCTCCATGTGGAACAGTTTTTTTTACCGCATATTTCTTTCAGAAGCTGCATGGACTGGGTTTTCTTGGAGCAAAAATGTTGGATTTTCGCCTTAAGCCATCCTTTAAAAGCTGTGCAAACACCGCAAATAAATAAAGTAATCTCAAAACTGGGAAGAGTTTCTGATTGCACATCATGGGGTCTCAGCCAACGGTCACTGAAAATGAGGGGCACGTTTGAATCCCGCTACAATACAAGTTAACCATTGACAACTATGGTTACAAATTGTTGGTTACAGCGGTGCCCTAACTTTATTTGGGGGTGTCGCCGACACTGGGGGTTTATCCCATTATTATATCGAGATTGCATTTATTACACCTTAGCAGGAACTAGAACTGACTCTATAAGAACCCATTTAGACATTAAAGGGTATACTGCAGCCATAATAGACACAGCTGGCACTAGAAAACTCATCATATCCCCATTCTATCCCCAATATATCCTCATATATACCCCCATCAATGGCTGGCGTCATACCCCGGATCTGGGATATCCCTTTGGCACACGTAGGTTGTTGGTGAAGAAGAGCTCACCCGAAGAAGGACTTGGGATGCGACCAAGCGGTATTCCAAACATTGCGGTGACTGAAACATGCCACATTGTGACTGTCCATTTGGGGAACAGTTGACGAACTGACATCATTGGATAGGAAACCATGGGTTTCGCAACCAAATCACCTTTGGGATGATACCATTGAGTTGCCACTCCAAGGTTTATCATCCTTCCGATGGTGGGATTTCTCTAAGAAACTGGAGTACCCGGATTTCTCGGCCATAGATGCCAATTTTCAGACACACCCAGCTATGGCACGGCACAGTTTCACACTGCACTCTTTGGGGCTCAACATGGCTGGTTGCCAGCTTTGGATGGCAGCCGTGGTGAGCAAGCCTGATAGCTGAAAGCATGATGGAGGGATCAATGGTTGTCCCGGGCCACTGGTTGGTTGTCCGTCATTGTCAGCAGGGGCTCAACAAACCACGAAGATGAGACCATCCCGAGTTTCACCAGAAATTGATTGTGTAAACATGTGGAAACCTCCAAAATTGTACGTTTACTATTTCCCAGTACTGATTTAGGAAAGCCTTGCTGTATGTTTGGGTGTAAAAACTTGCAAAAACCATGGTTTCCTGCATCCCTCCATTAAATCATTAAGTATTGGGTTTACAACACAAGATCCCTCGCAAAAAATGGCACGAAACGGCCGCGCCATGGCCGCCATGGCCGGTTGGCCACCTGCGTTGGCATTTCATCACGCCACTTGGGGTCGTCCTGGTGTATTTTGGTGCCAGGAGTCATAAGTGGTTCAGACATCAAAATATGGATGATATGGGTACCCCAAAATATGGGTTCCCCAAAATATGGGTACCCCAAATCATCCAAACTTAGACAATTTTAGTCTTGAAAGCCATGATTTTGTGGATCCCCCATTTTAGGAAAGCCCCATATATTTGGTCTCGGCAAATTATAGTGACCTCACCGTGACCGAACCCTGGAATCATGGTTAGCATTCGGGGAATCATCCCCATAGCCTCATAGCTGGCCGCAAGTTTGAGGTTAGTGAAATCAGGTATGGTTCATTAACAACTAGGATTTAGTGGGATGTACTGCAAGGTCAAGAATTCTATAAGTTGGGTATGTGCAAAAATGGGGAATCTACTGCACTTCATGGTCGTTTAGTGGGCTAATAATGATGAACAATGGGATTTAGGTGTGCCCATGTGAAACCACAATCCCATGATATCTCCCAGGATGGTTTATACTATTAAATTGTAACATGTAACATGATTCTTACCCACGTAGTCGTAGCAAGGATGCACGTCCAAGTAGCACATACACGAGTCAAAAGAACATGAACAGCAAATCACGTATGCCTCTGGAAGTGCGAAAGTCTTGGGGCCCCCCCCTGTAACATGATTAGTTTTATAGAATTGTGTCAACCGCTCTAATTTGTTGCTAATTTGAATGGTTCGTACATGGTTGGTGAACATCCCCATTTTTATTGGTGAAAATGTTGCTATATCCACCTATTCCATATTCTAGCATGCAATGAACTGAATTATGTTGGGTTTAGTATATGTTTGTGTATATATATAAGATTGGTGCACATATACATATACATATACATATATATATACATATACATATACATATACATATACATATACATACATAATATATATATATATTTGCGTGTGTGCACGGGCTTTCGTCGGTTTGGTTTATTCCCCGTGATACATACTGCCGAGCAGTTGTTGATTCAAGTTGGTCTCTAGGAAGGCCCAAATACCTACAAGGTGGTGTCCCACTGCTGGATGGTTGTCATACACCGAGTCACTAGGCACCATCTTGTATCCAGTATGTATAGCTGATGGTATGTCATTCTATAAATCATCATAAAACATCACTAAGTTATCATGAAATCCCGCAAAAAGACCATGAAATCATGATTGAATCATCATTGAAATCCCATCAAATCATGATTTTTGGACACCGGGCTTTCTCCAAAATCAGGACTTCGAGTGGAGCGCCCGGGAGCTGGAAGTCTACCTGGATCAATGTAGGTGGGGATTGGGACTTAGATGGACTTAGTGGGATTTCGTGGGGTTTCATGTGATTTATTCATATTTATATCTATATATATATATAAGTCATTATCCTAGCATTCAGGTAAGTTCAGGTGATGTCTCATTACATTCAGGTGTTAAGTTTGGTTTGACTCAGCAGCAAAGCAACTGCATGCATTTTTCTTGATTTTTGCAACACAGTCGTGCTCTGAGTTTGCATTCTACTGTTTGAAAGGCTGAACAAAGTTGCACAATGTAAATGTAATCTTCAATCAAATTGGTGTTTTCTTAGGTTATATTGCATTACATTTACATTGTCCTACTTTGTTCAGCCTTTCAAACAGTAGAATGCAAAACTCAGAGCACGACTGTGTTGCAAAAATCAAGGAAAAATGCATGCAGTTGCTTTGCTGCTGAGTCAAACCGAACTTAACACCTGAATGTAATGAGACATCACCTGAACTCACCTGAATGCTAGGAGAATGACTTGTTCATTATTATAAATAATTTATTGTGATTTAACCAACGGAAATACATAAAACATAGTATATATATAATTATCATAGTAGTTATAATATTAATGATAATAATAATCAAGATCAACCGCCATGACGGCAAATGTGAAGCCGTGTTACAGTTGCTGATATTTTTGTTGTGTGTTGCGCAGGCTGCCTCCAATGCATGCCTTCAATGGGGCTGCTTTGCAAGTGCCTGGTCTCAACCGCCGCAAGTCCTCGAGGGGATAGGCATGCTTAAAATTTTAGGGTTGGTTGCATAGGACCCAGATTTGCGCATGGATTGCTTGAAAGATGATAAAGATGTCTATGTCTTGCATTCATTTGCTCTCCATGTCCGATCTGAGCCTCTGAATTATGGCCAAAAGATCAGAAAATTTCGGTACATGGTCGCCTGAGCTGGACGAAGGCTAGGCTGGATCTCTTTGTGAAATTGAGTTTTATGAATTAATAGTGCGCATTTGTTCGCACAACCAACCTTTTCAAAGCCATGTTCTACCATCAAACAAATGCTTTGGGTTGTGCCTCCTTTTTTCCACACAAATGCGGGCCCTATTTTTCCGGCCTGGCTTTTGAAACAAGGTCTCCCAGTTGAACGACTTCGGCAGCCACGGCTGGAGTTTGCCGACAACACCTAGACGGGAGGTGACGGAAGCAAGGCATCGTGACGGTAGATTGACGACCTCATTGCGACGTCACTGAAATGATTAGTGGAGCCAACTATCTCCAATTGGTGGAAGGAAACAGGTTGGTGAATTGGATTTCATTCATCCAGCCGTTTTTTCAGTGGAGTCGTCCCCAAGATGGCTTTGAATGGACTGAATTTGATTTCGGGCTTGCTAGAATGTTAGGAACTATCACCATGATGTTTTGCTTGGTGAGGTCCTATTTAGGGGGGCAACCCAAGGTACGGCCAAACCATGCCAAACCCAAAACGTGATATCATCGTTAGCAATATACCCATAGGCACGGAAGACAGGACGTTTGTTGTTTTCCCATCGCTTCACCATGAGGAAGATGTTGCCCATGGCATGTCTTTGCCAACTCAGAACCAGGAACCATTTTTATTTTTATTTTTTTGTTGGTGAGGGTCCTTGTTGATTTGCGACAATGCCCGGTTGTACAGGTATTATATTGTTGTTATCTTGACCATTTTTTCGGGTGCTTTACTTTTTCAAGTGCTATGACTGCTATACATTTTGGATTTTGGGTCTCATCCCCGTTTGTTCTCTGGAGCTTCTCTTTGGTTTCTGGTTGCGCACAGGTTTTGAGACGGACTGTGTACATTTACTGTAGAATTCATTGGTCCAGGAATTCTATCCGGGTAAATGTTTTCGAGTTCACAAAGATTCCACCATGAATGACGGTGAATAATTACTTAATAACTTAATAATGATCCCAATAATGGCTCATTTGTAGATGAATATAGATATGGAAAACTCATGGTTTCACTACACAAAAATTATCGCACACAAACAGATAGATAGATAGATAGATAGATCGATCGATCGATCGATCGATTAGATGGATGGATGGATGGATGGATTGGATTAGATTAGATTAGATTAGATTAGATTAGATAGATAGATAGATAGATTATATAGAAAGTACATATGTGTACATATAATTATATATATATGTATATGTACATTGTTTGGTTTTTCGACGTGTCTTTCGGCTAGGCGCCGTCCTCCGGCGCCACGGGAAAGGACTGCGGTTGTAGCGCCCCCTGCGGAGTGTCTGGTGCTGTTGCGTCGACGCTTGGGCGTCTTGGTTTCGGAGCTATGGCAGGATGGGAAAATGATGGGAACAGTCTGCTGGAAAGCCGTGGAAAGCCATGGAAAGCCTTGGAAAGCCTTGGACTTGAGGGATCAACACATCAACACTATGGTTTCCGGTGGTTTTTTTTCCTCAAACCAATCCATTGGGGTGTTTTGCTGGGGGAATGGCCATCTGTGGCCAACCACAACAAAGATATGAAACCAACTGGGACTTAAACATGGTGATGTACAGCCCAGAATCTAGAAATATCATAGCCTCAGGTAAGTGTGTCTAGAATGGTCAGCCCTGAGGGCTGGACGTAAAAGTTGTAGAATGGTGTGCCAGCACAATTGTAGAACATTTTTTGCTCTCATTGTAGAACCCACAGAATATATTTCACAAGGTCGCAGATATAACCTATGAAGTTCAGGCATGACCAACATCCACAGGAGTAGTGGTCCTTGTGGTCCTTGTAACGGGGGAATGTAACCAGCATCTGTAGATAATTTGTATATGTATTATATGCCTGAACAAATGCAAAATAAGCATGCATACAGGAAATAGTAAGGGAGGTACCAGGTACACCCCAAAAATTAATAGCAAAGGTATATTTCTGGGGGTGCCACTGTCATTGGGACTAATGGGTCTTGGGAGCTTCCGCGTCAGCTTCAGGGTAGCTGATCTCCAGAGGAGAAGTAGCCTGGTAATATAGGGTCACCACATTTTGGACATACGTAATGTAGAAAAGTCGGAAAACACATGCAATTGAAATGGTTGGTTCATGTTGGTTCAAGATCCAAAAATGCGAGAGGTGTCACATCCAGATTTCCATGTTGCAAATGTTCCTTGGCATCAATGTAGTGTAGATCTTCATGCTTGGATGACCCTTTGGTAATCAAACATGGCAATGGCATTTCCCCATTTATATAAAGGTGAATTTCCTATGAAAAACCCTCCATTTACCAAGGACATCCAAGGACTTTCCATTGCCACGTTTGATGACCAGAGCATAGCTGGATTACTCCGCTTCGTCCTTAGGTCAAAGGAGAGCCGTGCCAAGGTAGCCCAGATTGCAGTGATTTGCAGTGCTTCGCCGTGGGTCATTGCATATGGGTTTGTCTGAGAATAGGGTACCTTACGGTACCTTTACATAATTCCATTGGGTAATCACAAATTTTCTCTGTTTTGGTCGCTATTTTGAGGGTATACCCGTATGCCCCAATTTAAGACACAGCCATGTTGACATTTAAAACCTCAACCAGGTCCTTGCCTGCTCTGTGAGTGGAGGAACCTCAAAGAGGGTCCAAGCCATGCGCCACGCGCGCAGCATGCGCACGTTTTTGTGGATGCTGTTGTCAAACTTTTCGCGGTGCGGAGGGAAGACGCGTTGGAGGAAGGAAGTTAAGTGTGGTTTCGATGTGTTTGGGTTGCCTTCAGAGATTGATTTCTGGCACGGGGCTTCTGTTCCGCCCAATTTCTCAGTGGACAAAACGATGTTGAACATGTTTCGAGTGCTATTTCAATAGGAACATGACGAGATTCTCGCATGTTTTCGCCCACCTCTCTTTCCCATTCCATTGCCGTGGGGCTGACTACTGCACTGGCGCCACAGATAGCCGCAGCACTGGTTCGCCATGACACTGTACAGGGTGAGACTGTACATAGCCTCCTTGTTGCGTGAACAACGTGGCATTGCCCTCTTGGTTTGAGATCTGGATCTGAAGGGAAGGTCTATTTCCCACATGATCAAATTTCTCCGGGCATGAGAGACCCCCTGCTAGTTATTGTTTGTCAATTGGCTATAAGTGTTTGTAGCAGCTGATTTCTTTACCCGCTAAACGTATTTGAGTCTGCTGTTGTCCCATTAGTCAACATAGATACGGAGAACCCAACAGAAATGTAGATCATTGTAGCCTTGGGCACAGCCTGTCGTTTTGTTGATTTTATTTGCTGGTTTACTCTCTTTTACCCGTTTTACCCCTTCTTCAATTACAGTATGTATATGTATGTATGTTAAATGTGTCTTAAATCATCACTATTGCTGGCAAAATCCCTATTTTAGTGGCGGTTGGATTCCCAAATTTGGTTTGTAAAACCACAAGTGTTGTTCATTATATCCATGTGTTCTTCTATTTGTGTTGGCTGAATCACAGTTGCTGCCGGGTGATATCCAGAGAGTTATATAAATCATTTAAATGGCTATGAGTCGAAACCCTGGTACCCTACGTTCCCCAAAAATAGCTCGTGAATGGATGGTTATTCCCCTTCTCTGTGGTAATAATAGTATTTATACCTATCCCCAAATCGTTTTAAACCTATGTTTTTCATTGTTTTTCTAAATGCCTCTATATTTGATGGCAAAAACCATGGTATCATGTAGATTTTCCCAGCCAATCAATCCAATGATAACCCACATGAAAACCCCCCATGAGCACCTCTAGGAGATTAGGAGCAGGACCCATCATGGTAAACCAATGCCTAGCAAAGGATCTACGCAGTGGAGTTCACCGAAAAATTTGGGCTGTCGTCGACGATGAGGTTACTTACTGCCCCGGGGCCCAGAGAGAGGTAGCTATCGGAATTCATTGGCTTGGTTTAAGGGAAAATCTGCAGGATACCATGGTTTTTACATGGTAAACAAATGTAAAAAAGCCATCAAATCTAGGGGAGTTTCCTGCAATTTTTCGATGAAACCAATCCAATGACCTTAGTTTTGACCCATCCCAGAAGAGAACAATAGAGAACACCACGGCTGGGCCTCCGGGACCTGGGAATTGCAAAGCAGCAGTGAGGCGTTTGTTGAGTAACTGAGTTCAGGCAGTTCAGAGTGGCTGCGGTTTGGCAAAACAACAAAAAAAAAAAGGCAACTCGGGCCAGTGAACATGTCCACATTGACATTGATGAGTGACCTCTTTCCCTGGGCTGGGGCTTCTATGCAGCTTGGCGATCAACGGCATCCAAACCCATCAGGCACAAATCCAGAGGATTCATAACTGGCCTTTGTCGCATTAAAGTGGCTTAATTAATCCGCCCATAATGTATTTGACCTAAGTTGGATCTTGTGCAGTTTTCTGAAAGTTGCCTTGTTTGAGCTGCCACCTTGCAAAAATGATAAGCAGGCCAGAAAGAATCGTTTGGGTGTCATTGTTGCATGAATATTGCCCGAATTTCATGCCTCCTTTCTGGATGAACGCTTCATGTTTCTTTGTCCAGTTATGTCTTCATTGCTTGACCATGCACATCCCTCAATATCCCTCCATATTGTGGGAACATGTTGGAACATATGTCAGCAATGTTATGCCTGCTCCATAGCCTATCGAACCCGGAAGCACCACCTGGGTCAACTTCTTTAACCCCGAAGAACTCTCAATGCTTGTTTGGTTGGTTTCAGATGTTCTTTAGATAGAAATCAACCTTCGAATTGGGATGATAGTCCCAACTGACAAGCGTACTTTCTAGGGTTGAAACATGTTGAAACCATCAAGTGGTTCTTGTGGGTGAATCCCCCATTTTTGACAGTCATGTAATGTCAAATACCTGTAAAAACATCTCCCATTAATTCACCATATAAATCCATATAATACTTTAAGTTCAATCCATAGTGCTAGTAATTAATGATGGTACATTTCAAGTACCTTTTAGTTCCTACATCCCATGGAACCTCCATGAATCCCGTACTGCTGCTGTGAAACGTTGCCGAAGCTTGCCGAGTTTGCGGAAGTCCAAGCGCTGAACCCACAGTTCCAGGTAGGGATCGTGGCTGGCTGGGATGCATCCCTTTCCCCCATATTGCCCCCTGGTTATTTAACATAGCTATGGAAGCCATGAGCCATGTATAGATTATTTATGATGATTTAATGATTTACCTATAAAAAACATGGTGATTTTCCATAGCTATGTTAGTCAGAAGCAGAAAATATCGGCAGATTTTCCATGCAGCCCTAAGAAATCATGAGAAATCACGGTGTTTAATTTTAGCTGGATGGGATTAAACGATGCGTATTACGAAAAAATCGTTGACCAGCATTTTGCCAACCCCCCCAAGTTTAAGCAGATAGAGGGGGAATGAGGATGAATGAGGGGGATGCCAATCTTAATGGTAGACATGTTTCACAATTTTGGGTTAACCGTCCCAATTGATTCGGTCACATAAATGATTTTAAGGGGTACTCATGGATGATCTCTACAACTCATCGCAGGCCTGTTGGCATGAAATATCTTGCAGGTGGATGGCCTCAAGAAGGAACATACCACGGCACCCTGACATAGCATTGCTGGGCCCATCACGCAGAAGGATATAACTTATAATTGAAACATGTTTAAGTAAATCATGAGTAACGCAACATGTTTATTTAATCGAAGCATATGTAAGTAAATAACGATGTAAGGATGTCACTAGATCATTATGGATTACGAATAGCATTTCGATGAACGTGTAATAGTTAAATAACACTGTCACTGGCCAGCAACACCATCAACCAAACGAGATGGCATGGTACCAAGATTGTTCACATCAATGGGGCGCTTCAGTATGGTTCATGTTTGAACCATGTGCTGAGAAAACCGTTGATCGGTGGGTTGATTCGGCTTGATGGATGAATTCATTTGTCACTCTGAGGGCACGTATCATTCTCAAGATACCGTGCTGTTATTTCGGGATCCCGCTCAGAAGTCATTTTTTGACAAGGCATGGAAGAACAAGAAGCGTGAATCATCCACATCCAATGTTTGAAGCCCAACCCTCGAAAAAAAAAATCAACCACCAACCCATACCAACCCCAAAACAAACCCAGAAGAAATTGATATGAAGTGGTACCTGGTACATATGGTGCCCCAAAATCCAAAATTTATGGATTCAAAATGATTCAAACCTCACCAGGCACCGCCAGCCAGCGAGACCTGGGCGGACAGGGCACGTGCAGCGCCCGTGCGGGCCGAAGTGAGGGATAGAATGAACGCGAATGGGGGAATGGGGGTACAACTGGTTTAACATGGCTTAACCATCTATATCTTTTAATATTTTTTAATGACATAGGGGATGCAGCTGGGGACAATAGGGGTATATAGATATATATATATATATAATCAGAACTTGGAACTAACAATAATTATCATGGCAACTGTGGAAATGCCATGGACATGATGATGCTGATGGAATATCCGCATAGGTGATGGGATTGGAACTGACAATCTTTATACGGAATTGACCGGATATTATGCAATGCTAACCAACAATGTGAGGTTCTGTGTGTTTGAACATAGATAAATAGATATAAATAGGGTATATAGCCAACTATCACGTTCTAGTAGGGATAATGATGATGCCCTATAGTAAATTTCAGGGTATCCAATTTTCAGACAAATCCACATGGGTAAGGTGGTTTTCAAGATTGTTAAGATTGTTTCTTGTCGGATGACCAGCATAATGTACTGGGAAAACCTTTTGCAGTAATGTTACATGATATATACTGGTATATAATCATATATATATACAGTAATATATATAATATGATATAATATATATATATATAATTGATGTATCTTGTATGGCCGTATTTGCATGTCATGTGAAACTTTGACTCAAGCTCCCAGATTGCCTGATGCTTGGAAGGTCTACTCGGAAAAAGCACATAAAAGCACATTTTGGGGAATCGTTGATCCCGACTTTCCTACCACGGACATTTCCCAGCACAAATTCACTTCTCATTTCCCAATTGTTTTTAATCTGCATGGCTCACCTAGCAGAAAAATGGGTGGCAACCTCGAGGTTCTTTGAAAGGCGTCAAGGTGGTCTTCTTTTGATTGGTTTCCTATATGTTTTGACGTTTTTGTCCTCTGATTGGGACAATGTCCAACGAACTTCGATGAATTGAAACCGGCCAGATCAGCTCCCCGGCAACAGGCGAGCAATCAAAAGCGGTGGGAGTTTCGAGAAGCAAGGCGGGCTGCGTTCACGGACGCGTCGGCGGACGTACCCCATACCATCCGCATACACATTTCCCCGCATGAAAAGTGTGTTTTCTGAGGGTAGGTTCTGATATTCTGGTTGGGTAGATTATAACGGCAAAACTATGCAACTATGCTATGTGATAGATGGACGAGATAGATGCAATGATTACGGTGATTACGGCCTTGTTTGGCGCATTTGGAGGTGTTTAGGCAGCCTGGGTGTAACTAGATCACATGCATGGATGTGTGCAGGGCTGCGCATGCTGTAAACATATAGGGCTCCAGAAGGGCGGCTCAGGGATGCTCAGGGCTCATTGCAAGCGCACCATGGGTTTAAATTGTCATAGAGGGTTGTCATCAATCGAAACCGTTGCACTTTCAGCAAATTGAAAGAAGGTCTTTATTGTGTCCAGTCGTGTCCCATTTTGAGGACTGAGTGCTTCACTGATATCGATGGTTGTTGATGATGCCTCGGATTGTTGGAACTTGGGGTGACAGTTTCAAGACAGTCAGACAGGGCACTGCATCATATGTAGCTAAGCACCCTTGTTGAACTTGGATCGTGTTGAAGTGGCTCAGCATCAGCCACAAAGTTGGAGACTAAGAAGTTGATCGGGGCTGCCTAGCTAATTTGAAAGCTTTGAGATGAGGAATACATAGGTACTCGTACGCTGGTGGCTTGTCAGAGATGTTTTCCATCCTCGCCCCAAATGGCAAACCAGAATTGGATCAAGGGAAACATCTACAGGAAACCATCGATTTCCAGGCCAAATATGTTTTCGCTTTTCCCGCAGCATCTTCACCTTCGCCAGGCGAACGTTACTTCGCTACTTGACAAAGCTGACCCTTCAGCTGCTGGGATCTATCGGATGCGGTGTGTTGGTTCACAAAAAAAAAACACCGGTGGTGGGCGTGTCGATGTGGTGTGCCCCCATGGCAATTTTCATGGGGAAAATGACCATCAAACAGTGGATCCCACCAGGGGAAGAACGAGCTCATCCGGAATCGTCCGGAATCATCCAGAAGGTATGGTAGATTTCTCTGCATGAATCTAATTATGGATAATTGTGGATGATCCGGGCCCCGGGCAGCCTGGGCATTTGGTTGCCAACTTTGCCCGTAAAAAAAGTGCATATGTTCTATTTGTTTGTCAAGAGATATAGGATCCGTTTGGGTGTATGGATGTGTATGGTTAATGGGTACGTTATTGTCTCTGCTTCTTAGTCTGCATGCAAAACGTTTAAACAAACATCACGGAACAATATGGATCAATTCGGAGCAATTCTAGGTTTCAGGCTTTCAGGCTTTCAGGGGCTGGTTTGTGTTGTGCTTGGAGTGTCAATATGGTTTTATGTTGCCTTCCTGCCTGTGATGATGATGATGATGATGATGATGATCCCAAACAAATTTCCACATTTGTTCAGTAGGGCGGCTCAACCAACCATCAAGCTCGCTGCATCCCATGATTCGCGACTGCTGGATCCCAGCGACTCGAAGGACCATTTGGGTGCCAAGGTGACCAACTCCGCTTATTGATGTATTTATTGCTATCGCGCGCCATTGGTTGTTTTTCTGGGTCAAGATCCAATTTTCGGTGCTTCCACCCTTCATTTCTGACTTGGAGCTGGTAGTGGTAGCCTGCCAGATCTTCCACGGCGTGCTCTCAGGGGCTTGGGCGAGAGCGAAGCTGCTCCGGGAGGATATCCTTGGCCACACCTGGGGGATGAAGGAAAGATCCCAGGATTCTTTGATGCTCGGTTGCGAGCTGGAAAATCACCGGTTGATATCCATTTAGGTCACTAGGTCCATGATTTGATCTATTGTTTTAATGGTGATTTTCCATAGCAAACTGTGAAATTACCAGAGGGTAACGGCCACCTCCCCCCGGCCAGAGGGGCCATGGTTGAGTAATATGATTCATAAGATCCTGGAAAAGTTTGTCTACTCTTTCCTGACTCCTATAAATGAGGCAACGTCACGTATCTAGATATATAGGATAACCATCCCCCTTACCATTTCCACTACTAAAAGGGTCAACACGTGCTGGCTACCAAACCTCATTTGGTGGAGAAATCGAGTTTCAATGATGAAGTCGTGCAACGGATCTTGTATAGTCAGAGGGCATGCACTGCATTTGGTAGCGTTTTGTCACTCTTTGAATTTAGTTCTCAAAAAAATATGTTGGGATGCCCAGGCAGCGCATTTAGTAGCAAGGGGGTTGGTCCATTTTTAGGCAGCATTTTGTAGTAGGAGGCTGTGCCCGTAAACGGTTATGCTGGCACAACTTCTCCCCAGAATGCCAAGGGGGATGGATAATCAACGCAGGGAAAAACCATGGCTGCCTGAAGGTCAGAAGGTCAGAAGGTGAGGAATGGATAGGAATGTTGGTTCCAAGTCAGGGATTGATTTTTGTGTCCCAATGCGTTTTTGAAGGTTGCTTTGGTCAGTCGCAATTCAGGTACTGGTTTTTTGAGTGTCCTTTTTTGGTGAACAGAACATGTTCCATTTGTTTGCTGGGTGTATCTCGAAGATGTGCCACAAACTCTTGTTGGTCGATACAGCAATCCCCAACATGAGAATCATGAGGTAAACATCATGTGTGGCATCCTTATTCCCGATGGATCCAAGCACCTCCTGAGAACCTTCTAAATTTAAATCATATCACACTCCAAGCACTTCCTAAGATACTTGGATCCATAGGGAACCACTATTTGCGAGTTTAAGTCCCATTAAATCCCATTAAATCCCATTAAGTCCAGGTAAATACCATAATGGTATCCCATCAGACCACTGCATCCGCAAAAAATGTGGGTGACTCACCGAGGAAAACTTGAACCAACAGCTTCGACACTTGGGCGACCCGAGGGATCCTGGGAAGGATCTGGGAGGATTGGTTGGCGAACCAACTTGGACAGCTGTTTGCCCCAAGATAGCTAAGTTGGTTTATACAATAACTATGGTTTATGGTACTTATAACTATAGGTACTGGGGCTTATAAACCAACTTATAACTGGCTCATGATTTTTTTCACGGCCAAGGGTCACACAGTGATTTTTATGCTGACGTTTGAGATAGACGCCTAAAAAATGATGTGGTAAAAGTTGTCGATGTCTATAAGACCAAGGAAAACTATTGCGCTTCTGCCGGTGTTTGGTAGGAATTTGTCACTTTGGGGGATTGAGAGCGTCGAGAGCCCTATGAAAAACCCTTGTTAGGTATTGGATCTATTGATTGTGCCAAAGAGAAGGCATTATTATTATCACATGGCAGTCTATCTTACCAATGTCCGCCACTTGGGTCGTAGAATCTTGAAACGGTAGAATGTTCAGAATACCATTGCAAGCTATATGCTAATTATATCTGATTTTACAGACCAATTTCAGGTCAGTGAAGCATCCCATGATTCCAGGGGGACACATCATTAATGATGGCCTATGTTCACCATGTTATCATTGCCCAATCGGGCGAACGTCCAGACCTGCCTCAAAAAAACAAGAAATAACCATGAAGACTCGGGAGGTAAAAAACATGTTTCTTCAAATCAAGCACATGTCGTTTCTTCCAATCAGCCCATTCAGAAACGGTTTAACGTTGCCAACCCTGGCTTAACAAAGCCTGGTTTTTCTGGTGATTCGGCAGATCTATTGGATGACCAGAGGGTGTTGTTGTCGAAATTCTTCGTTATTGGTCCCAAAAATCATGCTATATATATATATTATATTATATGTATATATATATATATCATATATCCCATGAATATCTGGTTGCTGGTTTGGAACATTTGGATTATTTTTTCCATTCAGTTGTGAATGTCATCATCCCAACTGACGAACTCAATATTTTTCAGAGGGGTAGGTATACCACCAACCAGATATTAATTCCCATAAAAATCCCACTCGATGCACATGAAATCATCATGAAATCCCCATGAAATCCATCATCCTGAGAATCCTGAGGCATGTTCGCAGCACCAATGCTGGACGATGCGCGGGCCTCCTTGCAACAGTCCTTGCAGACAATGCCGATGAGCAGCTACTGGTACCTTGGATATCTTGGATGCGGCGAGGTGATGGCTGGGATTTTTTGCTGCTATTTGATGGTTATAGTTATATAGTTATAATATGTTACAACATGTTACAATATGTTAGTGTGGTAATTTCATCAACGAAAAAATGGCAGCTGCATCATGTGAAAAATCAACAAAAATGCTGATTTACCCAAGAACAAATTGCATTTTAGCCAATAAAATTGTGGTATAATGGAGGGGGAGGGAGAGAGAGAGAGAGATAGATAGATAGATGGATGGATGGATGGATAGATAGATATCCTCATTATATCACAATTGGATTTGCTAAATTTCTATTTATATATACTGTGTATATATATATGGGTAGATTATGTTGGGACCTCACTGCGACGTCACTGGAATGATGGTTTGGATTGTACTCTTCAGGCTGCTCCCCGGCCGGAAGAACGGAAGATGGGCCGAACTTTTCAGGTTGGTGATGTTATTGTACATGTTACCCTCTGGTAAACGAACAGTTTGCGATGGAAAATCACCATCTTTAATACTGTAGGTAAATCAACTATAAAGGGACCATTTTCAATAGCTATGTTAAATTACCAGCGGGTATTGTATGTCATTGTGATATATTGTAGTTTATCCAGCAACAGTGGTTTATTTCCAAGTTTGGGACCATGCTTGATGTGCGGGAGAATCATTCTGTCACTTAGACTATTTGCCTGTTGAAAACCAATGGGGTTGAAAGTTATTCCCATTTTTTTTGGGAAATATCCATGATTCTTCCATGCATATAGGAGTTGAAACATGCATATTTGCACACAAAAGTTCTTTATACTACATTACACGCATCACAGATCACACGCACACAGATCTGCACGTGTTTTCGCATCACAGAATTCCTCTGTCAGCGCATCATCACCGCTCAGGAAGGTCTACATGATCCCCAGGGGTCTCAGCAAGACGGACCGAGGGCTGTCCTGGGAAATCACTGGATCACTGTGGTTTCTTGGGATGGATTGATGGTCCAGAGGGGTGAGGATGATTTGATGGAACTGGTACTGAGCCGATCCACTTGGAAAAAATATGGGGGATCCCTGCAGTTGAAGCAATAAACCAGGCCACAGCATATCATGCTGCGGGAAGATGCTCAAATGATTCGTCTATGCTGGGCATCGGTTGAGGGACTTGGACCTATCGACCCAGAATACCAAAGTTAGGACCAGGAGCCTCGAGGAAATGCCCATTCCCATGTGTTCCCACGTTCATGTTCCTGCTGATTTCTTGAGTTGACCTTAGTATTGCCCTCAGCTTCCCTTGCATTATTGGGTTTCAGTATGGTGCGAAGAAACCACGATGTTCAGCACTAAATCTCACTTTTCCCCATCCTGCAAATTCTCAGGCTGAAATCTCTCCACAATTTGTGGATTAAAAACTCCAATAGATTTTGCAGCAAATTTTCTCACAAACTCAATGATTTTCCGGTCGAGTTTCATTCCAAGTATGTTGACTTCTGACAGACCATGATGTCCCATAGCATTTCCCGAGCCATCCCAAAAACCTTCTGGTAATCAAACATGACTTGCTGAAAAGAAACCACTTGGTTCGATGATGTTAACTTAACATTTCAATGCCATTTGGCTCCGGGATTTCCCAGCCAGCCATGATCCCATTAAGATCCACTAAGTCTCATTAAATCCCAGTGAAGTACCAATAAATGGCAGTAGAATCCCCATAAAATCCAAATTGAATCCCATTATATAATTAATCATTCATAAATATTTTACCAGACAAAAGAAAACCCAACAAAGGACGCATATTTACCCCAATAAAATTCCAATCAATTCCCAATTTCAACGTCCAATAGGAAACAAAAACAATGAAATGGCCATAAAATTCCACTAAAAATCCGATGAATTCCAATAAAAACCATCAAAATCTTCAGTGGAGTCCCAAGTTGGGAAGGACTGCAAGCGTCTGGCGCGGGGCCTCCCCGACAGCCGCATGGATGACCAGTGCCGCAACTCGGCAAAACCAGCGCGGTGGAGACATCCGTTGGGTCGGGGATGAACCATCAAAAATGGTGCTTGAACTATGAAACATGGCGACTGAACCAAGAAATTTCCCGGATTTTGGCCAAAATTTGACATTTCAGGGACAACAATGGGGACTTTAGCAACAAAAATAGTGGCATTAGACCAAATGGATTCAATGGGATTTTCCTAAGAAGAATGTTGACCAGAAACCATCAGGAACAGGAAGATTGGAATTCTAACCAACAAAATTGAAGCACAACTGTGTTGGGGACTTCAAATGATTATTGTATTTCAACTGTAGTTGAGATGGATGAGACTACTCAGACGACTCATATTAATTTGATGGCTTAAAACCACCAACTAGACAGTATTGATGGTTGCTTTTGGGGATTTAATGGTGATTTAACGGGATTTAATGGGATTTAATGGGAATAGAACTAACCAACTTGATGTTGATGATTGATGATAAGTGCGTGTCTCTGAAAATGTTAAATATATATATTTATACACGTTATATACATGTTTATGCTTGCATGTACCCCCAGCAACGGCCATTTCACAGGGCTGATTATGATTGATTGACCAGTGGATTTAGGGGTGATTTCCGGATCTTGAGATATTTTGAGCAACCCCCAGAAGAGATAGACATGTAAAGTCCGATTGCGGTAAAACCATAGTAATTATTACTTTTTCAAATATGTTCTATCTTTGTGGGCCTTTGCATTTTCTTTTTATGGATGATGAATGGGTTGGTGAACCTTTCAGGTATGTAAGCTAAGAGCAATCTTCTCAGACATTTTCCTGGTGGCTGGTTGGTTGCCATATTGTTTTTGGCATATTTTGATGTATTTTGACATCTATTTCCCCATATGTCCCATTTGGTTGATGAATTTAAGGATGACCTTTGGGGTGATGTTCCTCTACGACTGGGCCACATAGGGCGATGCTTGAGGCTACTTTAGCGTTGACAAGATGGAGGGGGAAAGCAGAAACCCCAAGAATAGCGCCTCGGCGAAAAGGGCGTTGTGATGTCATATCATGGTGGAGGTTTCATATACGAGATGAGATGTCCTAAGTCATGGGGGTACCCCAAAACCTATGGGTTTCAATACTGTAGTTTGGTCAAATGAATTGGATGATTTGGGGTATCCCATGGTATCCAATATTTTAGGAAACCCCCAGGCTTGAATGGACAGAATCGTGGTTGTCACAATGGCACCCTATATAACTATTCAGCCACCCCGTCTCAGCTGCGAAATTGCAATGACATTGATTTTACTAGCAGGTTTTTACGAAGAAGAATGCGTTCACACCTATGCCAAGCGATAGTCTCCAAAAGCAGCATTGTGTCCTGAACAGATTTTGTCGAAGGCATCCAGGTCCTTTTTTTTTGAATGGAAAGCAGTTCCATCGTTCCCATCCCCATCCCCCAATATCATTTCACCAGGCTGCTGGAACAGATCGGGTACACGATGGTCATTCAATGGTCGGTTGTTCTCCAATTCGAATGCAATTCGCAGAAAAATGGCATCGTTCAGAAACAGAGATCTGTGCAGCAAAAAAAACCCTTAAACTCAGCGGTCATATCACGGCAGCATGGCGCCGCAGGTTGGTTGCCCTTCAGCACCGTGCTCTTGGTGCAATGCGAGGTTCCACACGACAAAAAGGCAGCAGTTATCTGCGGGGGGTTCAAACATGTATTCGTAGGATACCTTAGGATATTTTAGGATACTTGGATTTTGGCATGGGAGCGTTTCTCATCGGTGCCCAACCAGGACGTCCAACATCCAGTTGGGATGTGCAGCCTGGTATATATGAGCAGTCTGGCAATGTAATTTACTGTAGATGAAAGGATTTATACAACAGGTGAACTGCGTTTTGTTTCGCGTAAGTTTTTGCATAGGCACCGTAGGTTTTGCGCAGAATCTGCATGGATCTGCGTAGGTATCTCGTTCGGTAGGCTTCATGCTTTTGATGGCTTGTGCCTATGCAAGGTAGGATTTGCGTAGGCTTCGCGTAGGCGCGTTAGGTCCGCGAAGGCTGTGCACAAGAGTGGCGTAGGCAAACTGCAAAATACAAATGCCAAAACAGTATATAGTTAGATAGACACACCCAACTGACCCGAGTATCAAAATACTAGTGAGCAAAATATGGGATCAACAGGATTGTTTTCAAGCAGAACTAGGAATCCAACAGGAATCCAAATTGGTTCATGTTTGTTTCTATGAACCAGCCAAGATGATTTACCTGTCGTAAACAAACATGGCAAGCATAATTGGACCATACGTAGTTCCATTGTTTCCTGGAGAAATCTCTTAAAAAAATGCTTTGGGCTTGTCTGAAGATATTGGTGGGAAAGAAAATCCAGTGGTTCACCAGCATACCCTGTTACAATTGCCAAACACTGAGGGTTAAATACACCATTTTCAGACACCCAAGTATGTCATGTTGGTCAGTGATACCAGTGATATCCCATTTGACCCCAATTAAAAAACATCAATCACAAATCACTGCTTATAGACCCCAATCATCTCCAATCACACACACATATATAATTATATATATATAATATAAACATAAGTTGATGGCTTCATTGCATGGTTTTATATATAACATAGTTCTTTTTGCCAGACCGACCGGGATATTCCTTTCGGCAGGCATTGCCAAGCGTCCCACATCGTTTCGGGGTCCTACACCGAGACCATGATGGGGCCTCTTGGAGCAATACAAAGATGTGGCAGCGCCTATGATAGATTTCCCCTCTGGTAATCAACCGTGGCAAGGGAAATCCCCTACAAATGGAGGTTTTATTTTAGTGTGGAAATTATCCATGGGTGATTTTCCATTGCCATGTTTGATTGCCGGAGGGTATCCAGGATGCTCACGAGGTTACCAACAAACTTATGGGCACCACATGGAGACAAATTTCAGGTGAAACCTATGGTTTCCCACAAAATTTCCCGGAAAAAACGAACCATTGAATCAAAAATTGCTACCCTCTGGTTATTTGACATAGCCATGGGAAATGACCCATTTATAGAGATGGTTTACCTATTAAACATGGTGATTTTCCATGGCTATGTTAAATAACAAGATGGTATGTAAACAAACTCAAGGGGGGTTGACCCAACAAGAAGGAGGATGCAATCCACTGCGATTTCACAGTCGAAAAAGACGTGAGTCAAGCCATTGCCTGGCTAAAAAGAACGCTCAGTAAACGTGATCGGTACTGTTCCTCGTTAAAACCCGTGGGTAGTCTTCGCAGCTGGCAATAGAATGCCTTTATTGTCCATTTAAGGCCGCAAGAAACCTAAACTCCATGTGTTTGATTCGACACTACAGCCATGTTTAACATGTTTCCGCGGCAACCACCCATGTTAAGAAAGGACATGTCTAGGTCTCCAGATAAAAACATGGTTTAGAGTCCAGACTGTGGCCATTGAAGGCCATTGATCTAGGACCATCACCATCAATGGACCTTTCACCCATGCCAACTCAGGCCTACATTGCCAGGGGCCCAGACACCGGCATGTTGTCCAGCTGATGCCGCCGATTGAAACATCAAACGATGTGGATTCCAAGGGCAACAGCATCAACATTTCGCGAACAACATATGGTAGAAGCAACCAATATGGATCTAACATGATCTAACCTCAACCAGACTCCGGGTTCCCAACCGGCTGGGCTGAGGAAGCTCGGTCTGGGGTATCTCCTTGCAATGTACCATTGGGTCATCAAACATGGCTGGGAAACCTGCTGAACATGGAGGTTTAGGAACATATTTTTGGAATATCTGTAATCTTTATACATCCGGGGATTTTCCACTACCATCTTTGATTACCAGCGGATCCAGGATTTTTTGTGGGAAAAGCCCGAAACGGACCAGGAGCCCAGGATCGAGCGACAGAGGGCAGTTCAAGCCGAAGCAGTAAAATAAAGAAGGGTTTTATAATGGGAAAGGATTATATAAAGCCTATTAGAATGAATGATTTGGGATACCCCATGGTATCCCTTCAGGAAACCTCTAAATGATTGAGAGACTGCCTGAATTTGAGAGCGCGGATGGATCGATGAAATCTTCATCTGAATTGTCACCGTCGCCAAGTTTGGCCAAAAAAGATGGCCGACTCAGCCAGAAGTTGAGGTGCAGGTGTCGGACTGGGGCAAGGATGCTTGTCCAATTTGCGCTTCTGATTTCCACTTGGATCGCCGCAGTGCAGTGTCTTGCGACTGTGGAGGCGCTTGCCAAGTGTGGGGAGGGAAAACCAGGCCGAGGCATGAGATTCACCCAAAAATATAGCATGGAAGTCAGCAAATTTCCGGGAATCTGGGAGAATACTGGATAATACTCTTGCAAAAGCGATTTCTTTGGGGGAAAAATCGTGGATTGAAGGGGTGGGTTGAGCTCATCAACCTAAAACTCTCCCATTAAGAGCGAAGCGGCGGGTGGTTCACCTGGCACCCACCTGGTGGGTCGTGGTTCAGGTGTTTCATACGTGCCATGGTCCAAAAAACGACCTCCGGTGAAAGGGAATAGTCATCCCCCTACTGCAAGAATTTCCATGGAAATCAATGGGATGCATACATACTGTAGGACCCACCATCCCCAATGACTCACCTTTCTATGGGTCGGTACAGTTGTACAAACCATCAACACATGGCTGGTTTACGATAGTAGACGTGTTTAATAATCCCATTAACAATAATAGCAATTCTCCAGTTATCCCCACAATTACTTGGATAATTACAATATTCCCATTGATCCCTATTGTATAATATCCATATATTTATCCCCATTAACAATTTAGCTGGGAATGATCGAACTTGGATAGAATTATAGCAATCCCTAGCTGAATCAACCGGCATCGCCTCGGTTGACAGGTCTAAAGGTCCACAGCTGCTGCGCCCGCTATGCGGAACGTCAGTCGCCCCTGGATGCTGTGCTGACCTGCCAGCTGTGCAGCGAGATGGTGGCGGAACCACGTCGCTGGGCCCTGTGCTGCTGGGAGATCTGGGGCGAAGATGTGTTTTTTTTAAATAGTTTTTTCATCTTTTTTTTCCGCAAAAAAAACATGTGAATCAGAATCCATTTCGATCCTTCACTTTTTTTGGGGAAGGAATTTGAACCACCATTTTGGGATCATTTGGGTGAGATTGGCTGGAGCTATATATGGGATTTTTTGAATCCAAAACAAGCGGGGCAGTCGCTATCTTGCTTTCTTTTCTTGTTTGTTGTTCCCCACCTGCCAGGTGAGGGTTGTTAGATTTTATGTCAGTTGCCTCCTCCTCCTCCTCCTTCTCCTCCTTCTCCTCCTCCTCCTCCTCCGCCTCCTCCTGCCTCGTCCTCCTCTCCTCCTCCTCCTCGTCCTCGTCGTCCTCGTCGTCCTTGCTCAACTGCGACCCGCGATCCACAGTGTTCCCTGCCGGACCTCAACCACGACCATCCACGCCCAGTGTTCCCTGCCGGACCTCAACCACGACCATCCCCGCCCAGTGTTCCCTGCCGGACCTCAACCACGACCATCCACGCCCAGTGTTCCCTGCCGGACCTCAACCGCGAGTATCCACGCCAAGTGTTCCCTGCCGGACCTCATGTAGGAAGATATGGGACAAAGAATGTGCAGAAGAAAGTTAGAAAGAATGTCAGAAAGAATGTCAGAAGATATGCCAGAAGATATGCCAGAAGATATGCCAGATAGAATGCCAGATAATATGCCAGAAGATATGCCAGATAGAATGCCAGAAGATTTGCCAGATAGAATGCCAGAAAATATGCCAGAAGATATGCCAGATAGATATGTCCAGAAGATATGCCAGAAGATATGCCAGAAGATATGTCAGAATATATGCCAGAAGATATGTCAGATAGAATGCCAGAAGATATGTCAGAATATATGCCAGAAGATATGCCAGATAGAATGCCAGAAGATATGTCAGATAGAGTGCCAGAAGATATGCCAGATAGAATGCCAGAAGATTTGCCAGATAGAATGCCAGAAGATATGCCAGAAGATATGCCAGATCATATGCCAGAAGATATGCCAGATAGAATGTCAAATAGAATGTCAGAAGATATGTCAGATAGAATGCCAGAAGATTTGTCAGTAAGAAAATGTATAAATGTCATGGTGGGGATCACACGAAGTAAAGTAATTTTTTTTTGGGTGGGGAGGGCTTTGTATATGATTGTATATGTAACATGTAATTATCTAGTTAGAACATGTTAAAACACCATTTACGTTGGATGATTCTTGGTCTAAGACGCCCCAGACTTATTGTTTGTCGCCTCGGCGTTTGTTTTTGCGGTGGGCTGAGGAACTGATTCTGCTGAGTGAGAAGCCCAGTGGGATGACCCGGGATGACGGTGGCCCTGGGTCCATGGCTAATGGTACCCGGTACCCTTTATTATTCAACTGGTTGGTGGTGACTGGAACCATGGAATTTTGAATGACTTTCCATTCAGTTGGGAATGGAAAATCATCCCAACTGACTAACTCCATGATTTTTCAGAGGAGTAGGTATACCATCAACCAGTCAACCAGTCAACCAGTCAACCAGTCAACCAATCTCTATTATTCCCGCTTTGGATTGCATTCTCAGAGATTGGTTAGTAGAGGGTACCAACAAAAATTAACGAGGCATTGCAACGGCCACTGCGTGAATTTGAGGTTCCAAACTGGCCCTTCTATTCTCTGGGTGTCCCAACATTTGGGGTGTCATCAATAGGGGGTGTCTCAGCCTTTAGCCAACCCTAATAAAACCCGGGTCAATTCATAATGGGACTCCCTAAAAGTCACAGCGACTACCATTCCTATATATATATATATATTTTTGGGTACCCATCATATCGATCATGAATGATCAGGACTTCAAATAAATCAGTTGCATCCCTTTAAAACTAGAGAGCCAAATATATGTGGTACCCTTCAACTATCATTTTGGTGGCTTTTGTGATGGTGTTTGGCTTTGTTTTGTCGGAAACGGCCTTTTTTCAAACGCCACGGCGTCAGTCACCGCACCTGGGCCATGTTCGTCATGGACAGCGTGATGGCGCCGTTGCGGCAGGCGGGGGAACTTATGGTTGAAACCTATTTGCCACGTTTGATGACCGGGAAAACCATGCTTTAATTGTAAGCCGTTGGGACTGGGACCCCTAGATTTTGGTGATTTTGGTGATAGTGTTCAAATAGAATTTTATTGTGAAATAGTCAGCAGGGCTACAAGGAACCAACAAAAATTTATCTGAATGGTGTTTCTTGCCACTAGGAACAGCATTTTCCAGACTAACCCATTCTCGTTTCAAATGTGGTGTACGGGTGCTGGCCTGAGCATTCTGCAGCCAATCCGACTCTACCACCACTTGATGTCACTGGGGTTTGCACCTCCAGTGGTAGTCAGGGTAGGCTCACATAGCCCAAAAGAACATCAGTTTTGAATAGTTTTGAGTTTATATATCTTTTCCATTCAGAATGGCTACCGTTTTAAAAGCCACATGAATCCTACAATCAGCTGAAGGCCATGACACTTTCACATGTTCGATCCATCCCCTTGGTTACGGGGGAGTGCCTTGAACAGCTACAGCTACTGTGGCGCACTGATGCCATGGCGGCCACGATCCGGGGGGCCTGCGAGGGGGACCGTAAAAAACTGCTGGAAATCGAGGAGGAATGTTTCATTGAGGCATGGACTGGGACTGTTTCCAAAGCGAGTTCTTTTGGATTGCATTGGGTTGCGGATTTTTTTGGATTGCATTGGATTGCCGAAATTAAAAAACGATGAAAAACGCGCGGATATATATATATATATGTATATGTATATATAGTTTATTGGTTTACTGACGTTTCATGCAATCGGCCCTCACTTCGGATGGGTCAGGTCACCCCATCGGAATTATAACATAGGGTATGTCAATATATGGCCCCCAAAGAAGCATGGTTTCGCTCAAGACTCTTTCCAGCAGAGAGGCAAGTGGTGTGAGAATTGCACAACCTTTACCAGCCCAATTCCATCCGATTCCATCATTTTTTCCCAGCCAGATGGCCTTTGTTGTGGGTAGATTCCCCAGGATGAGCATGCCATCGGGGACCGCTTGGACGATGCTCAGAAGACCCAGCCGAAGAAGCAGCGTCGACCTGGGCCTTTGTTTGTGCCAAGCTTCGTGGATGTTGTGACTGCCACCTGGCGAAGCTGACCGTTTTGCACAGGGACTTTGGTTGGGAGGATTTTTTTTGGTTAGCTGGAAACAATCTATCTATCTATCTATCTATCTATCTATCTATATAGAGATGTAGGTAGGTAGACACTTTCTCAATGAAGTCCAGGGGTCCCAGGGGTCCAAGGTTACTGTGGAGGGTGACTCGCATGTGGCCGGTTACTGTGCCTGGTGCTGCGAGCCAACGGGTGGGGCTGAGACGTGCATTCACATCATGAATCTGGCCGTGGCCCAACAATTCAGGAGCTGAAGGGATGGATTGGGAGGATCCCACTGAAGTAGTTGGACGTGGTTGTAGAAGGTGGACCCCAGTCATGTTTGCTAGGTTTTATTTATATAAACCCAATGTTAATAGTAATAAAAAAAATAAATAATACTAATAATAATAATAATGATATATATATATATAAATAATTGATATAGTATACCGATTAGTGTCATTGACCTCTGTGGTGATATTTTTTCAAAAATTATTGAGTATCTTCTGAATGGGGGGGGGTGGGCCTCTATTGTGAGAAGTTTTTTCTCAGATCCATTTTTTTCAGGAGGAGCTTTACCCACCTTTATACACCTTTTTTTGGGTAAAGCTGGTCCATTTACTTTAGAAAACCATACCCATCTTAAAGCCTTGAAAATACAAGGTTTCCCAAATATTAGATGCCTTATTAAACCTTTATTAAAAACAGCACCCAAACAATTTTTCAAGGGGGTATCCCATGAGTGACCCAGATCCTCAATAATGTAATTGTTTGGATGGCACCCTATTGTGCACAAAAACTTTTGGGGTGAAAAACACAACACAAAACCTTTTATCCACCTTTCTTTGGGTAAAGCTGGTCCATTTACTTTAGAAAGCCATATCCATGTTAAAGCCTTGAAAATACAAGGTTTCCCAAATAATTAGATGCCTTATTAAACCCTTATTAAAAACAGCACCCAAACAATTTTTCAAGGGGGTACCCCATGAGTGACCCAGATCCTCAACAATATAATTGTTTGGATGGCACCCTATTGTGCACAAAAACTTTTGGGGCAATTTGTTTTAAGATTTAAAAGGAAAATCAATTGAAAGTAGATTCAAATGAATTGAAAGTAATTTGATTTCAATTATTTTCAATTGAAATCCTTTCTTATCAATAGATTTCTTTTTAGGTTTAAAAAGAAAAGCAATTGAACGTAGATTGATTTCAATTGAAAGCCTTTCTTCTCAACATATTTTTTTGAGGTTTAAAAGGAAAATCAATTGGAAGTAGATTGATTTCAATTGAAAACCTTACTTAAGTTGATCATCCTAAATTCCCCAGACCTGGTTCAGCATGGTTCCCAAGAAAATGCCGAGTTATTGAGTAGACCAAAATTGTTGGGGGGGGCCCTACACAAATCATTAGCCAACATTACAGTATAAACGGTGAACCAAGGCTGGTCATGTTCCCTTACCCTGCCGAGGAGATTGGGCCTCGCCAAGGCCCTGTTGCAACACGTGGAATCACGCGCCTTGGAGAAGTTCCCGTGCAGCCTGCATGTGCGCCTGCTGGTGCGTGAAGACAATCTGCCAGCAAATCAGATGTATGTCACTTGGAGGTGCTATGTTTCTCCGGTAAACACAGAAAAACATATAAAACAAATTGCCATTTAGTTCGTTGATTTAGCCATAAATGATAAAAATGGCGATTTTCCTAGTTATGTCAGTTTGCCAAGAAGTTATGGAATGGGCCAAGTAGATACCCCACGACAAGTAACATGGAGCGTTTTTGTATGCTGTTGTTGTTGAAATATTGCGAAATCCGCAAGGCTTTTGTTGGCCCCAGCAGAATGCCGAGGCTTCGCTTGGCTTTCAAGAGATTGACCGACTCTCGGGCGGCCTGTGCCATATCCCGTTTTTTTGCTCTATGCTATGTTTGCCAACATGTGGATAGATTTTGGTCGGTTTTTTTTGGGTAAACTGTTGCTTCCCTACATGCAGCATGCGCACATCTTGTTTTCAGATTGGTTTCCTCAGGAAACTGAGGGGAGAGGATCCCATCATATGGTTGTCGCGCTTAAGGTTACCTGTTTGTGGGTCATGGCCAACTGGAAATCCGGACAATCATGTTACATATGTTACAATTCCACCATTCAAATCCTGATATGTCCTGATCATTCCTGTTCCATTGTCTAGTTTTTGCATGATTTACCCCAGAAAATCCAATATCCCATGAATGTCCAAAGAATATCCCATGGGGACCTGCACCATGTGCCATGTGCCCCTTCCCCAGGAATCCCCGAGTACTATGGCTCTGTCCCCGCCTTGGAGTTACAACGTCCTTTGGAGACGGCCACGCGTGTACCACGCGGCCGGCAGAGACGAGGATAGCGGCGCCGTGACTCGAAGCAGTTGCTGTTTTCAGGTCAACTACTAGTTGATGATGATGAAACCAAATTGTATATATATATGTATGTGTGTGTATGTGTGTAAATACATGTCTAAATTAATTATATATATGGATATAATTATATATAGATATAATTATATATATATATATAGATATTTTTTTTTAAAAAAAGTGTCAATAGATGCATATATACCATATATATATATATATGTATACCATATGTGTACATATGAGGGGATGATTTATTGTGTGCTTGTTTGTTTGTTTGTTTGCTTGCTTGCCTGCTTTGCTTTGCTTTGCCTTACCTTGCCTTGTTTTGCTTTGCTTTGCTTTGCTTTGCTTTGCTTGCTTGCTTGCTTGCTTGCTTTTTTTTTGTTTCTCCATTCGTGAGGTCCACACATGCATTATCATGTATGTATACACAATATCTATAATTACATACACATATCTGTACATATCTGTACATATCTGTACATATCTGTACATATCTGTACATATCTGTACATATCTGTACATATCTGTGTTATCTACACATACATGGTTTTTTCACTGTACTTTTTACCGTATCTAGTTTAAGGTAGTTGACATGCATTGGCGTATTGTTAGATTCAGATACAGAGGGTTGTATATTTAAGGGCGATGGGTTCATGGTTTAAACATGATGGAAACAGAAGCAAACACATGTTTTGGATGCTGGTGCGTGAAGCTTTACTTCATGTGTTTTCTCCATAATTTGGGTTTGTTTGTGCATAGCGTTGTGCAGTTTATTTTGACCAGAGGACCAGTTTCATTTGGTTGCTGGGTGCGGTTTGTTTTTTTTGGCAAATGTCCATCCATGTGACGATGATACCCACTGATTTAAATCATACGATGGAATCATTAATCATCATGTTCATTGCTCTAGTCTTCCACTAATTTTGATATAAATATACTGTAAATATAAATATGTACATAAATACAAATATACAGTACATGATCTGAAACATTTGAGGAGGCCCCACAACATCCTTCAACATCGCCAAAACCTGGCGGTGGCCTCAGGTACATCCCGACAGCTGACGTGTGTCCGCAGTGCTTAGATGCGGGATGAGGTCAAGGACTTCATAGCGGATACTCAAATGGAGTCCACCGATCTTCGCGCAGAAATGATGGCAACGTCTGGGTGTTGGAGGTGCCGTAGGTGGGACGCCAAATCAAGTCGTGACTTGCGAAAAAGTGGTGCGATGCTCAAGGCCATCAGTGGGGAGTGGTAGGGATCAGTATTCAAGCCCAGGTTCATATTGATTTCCAGAATCTGTTCAATTTGCAGGAACATTTGCAGGAAACCAAGCTGGTAAATGCACAGTTTCCTGATGTTTCCTGTAGATGCTTGCTCAAAATAACCCAGTCGCAAGTGCAAGATATTGCAAGTCAATGTTGAGACGCTCAATGAGTTTTAATGACCTAATTTTCTCAATTCCAGTACCCTCTGGTAATTTAACGTAGCTATTGAAAATGACCATAGAAATAGTGGATTTTCCCATGAAAAATGGTGATTTTCCATAGCTATTTTGACATAACCAGAGGGTATTTATGTCCGTTGTTTGGTTTCGTTTTAAGCCTTCTCGGATCCAACATTTCTCCCCACATATTCCCAAGAGATTTTCAACCTACTTCCTAGTCTAAGTGCATCCCAATGCAACATCTTCCGAGTATCTTCCAATTTTTTCCCATACTTTCCTCGGTATTTGCAATATTTCCCGGAATCCCACTTGCTCGTATTTATTTGTTCCCATGATTTCAAGGATATCTCTACTTGCAACCACCCCTTTTTCCTACGGTTTTTGCAGGCCTCAGTGCTGGAAACACCCAAGGATCACTTGCCTTGCTTTTGGAGCAAGGAGCGCTGGTTTTCTGGATGTTTTTTGTGTGCGTGAAGCTACGCTTTGGTAATCTACCATAGTGACACAGTGAACATGGCCTGTGCCAAACAACATGTCAGACAGAATGCCAGATAGATTGTCAGTTGGTGAGGGTCACTCGAAGAAAATAATTCTATGGCTATGTCTACGATTACCAGATGGCATGTTCAACTTTTAACTGCCTATGCATCAACGTTAAGATTTGGGCCTCAGATCCCCACAAGTCTTCACTACTATGTCGTTGCTAACCGGGATTTATACATACATGATTTTGCATACCTTGATGCATATGTAACTGTGTATGTTTGTGGGTACCTATATTGATGTATTTTGATTTGCTATTTGGGCAGTTAGGTTGATGGATAGGTAGCTAGACACCTGGAGAGATGAAGAAAAATGTATTTGGATAAAATGGAAAGACGTTTATATAGATAGATACAAAAAAAGATAAAAAAAAATAGATGATAGAAAGGTACATAGATAGGTAGATAGGTAGATACGTAGATAGGAAAGAATGGATCTAATGGGATAGATGGGACAGATGGATAGAGAGGATAGATAGGACAGATAGTATAGATAGGATCGATAGGATAGATATGGTACATTGGATAGATAGAATAGCATGGCATCGCAGGGCAAAGTATAGCACAGCATGGCATAGTATCGTATCGATAGTTTCGATACTATAGATAGTGTGGGTAGGTAGGTAGATAGATTAGATAGATAATATCATAGGTTGGATAGATAGAACGATAGATAGCATGGCATAGTATAGTTAGATAGCGTAGATATTTTTAGATAGTGTAGACAGATAGATCAATGGATAAGATAAGACTAGATTAGAGTAGAGTAGAATAGATTAGATTAGGAAAATATCAGATTGAATCCCGCAGACAGACAGACATAGATAGATATCTAGATAGCTAGATAGCTAGATAGATAAGCAAGGGAAGAAATCGTTAGATAGACCAGACGGACGGACGGACCGACGGACGGACTTATGAATTAGATTTGGTTAGGTTAGATTTGATAGAAAGATAGACAGATACCCAGAAAAATGCAATACATACATATAGATATACGTATATACGTATATATATATATAGAAATACACACGTTTTACCAGATGTTATTTCCTTGAGGTCCTTAGAAGCCTTAGAACGGCGCCGCAGGATATCAGTGGAAGTCCATTCAGTCCAGAGTTGGATGTCAACGAGATCTTGCCCGAGATCACGAGAGAGCAGCACAAGTCCTTGAAAAGCGTCAGGCGCAGCGGCAGAATGCGCGGCCGCTGCGCGGAATGTGCACGGCCCAGTATCCCCCCAGGTTTAGCCATGGAAAACCAGTTGGAATGGCGCTGTCACATGGGTGTACATAGTTTTTGTTGTTTTTCTTTCACCTCATGGCCCATTATGTTGTGGGGCTGGGCAAACATTATAATGTTCATGCAATCTGCGACATAAAGTCCGGCATCTACGATAGTATGTCCGTGCAAGCGGTGCATTTGTATGTAGAAATGTATATTGTTGCATTGATTTTTGCCAATGCACCAGCTGGCATGTGCGGACATGTCACCGCAGTGCCTTTGCGACAGGAAAGGGCCGATTACCTCAAAGCAGCAGCCTCAGTGCTGTGCAAAGGCCCAGGCATGATTTAAGTGCTCGGTGACAAAGGGACCCGCACGTGTTTGGATGTGTTTGGATATCTATATGTATACACACAATATCATATAATATATATATATACACATATACATATATACAGATATTCATGTGTACCCATTTTATTTGTTTTGTAGTGGTCCAGTTTGTTTCAGCATGCACCGTGCAGTCTCAACGGAAACTTTGGACCGCTCCTGTCGCATGCTTGGCTGCCAAGGTCTGAAATGGACGACCAGGATGGGTTTGGGACATGGGCTGTCCACCGTTGCCTTTTTTGTTGATCAACATGGATTCAACCGACCTGACCAACCCACACAAGATGACATGGCCATACATGGCCAACATTCCTATAATAGGAGAGCTAGATGATTAATCACCAATTTGAACAAGAGTTGATTCATCATCCATCATTTGGGGTCACTTTTTTGGGGGTTTGGTTGAATACCTTTAACACAACTCGATCAACATGCTCCATTTTTTTGATATTTGTTTGGACCTCGCAAAGGCACAGTCACAGCCAGCGTGAGGAATCTTCTACGAACCGACACTTGAAGGAGTTGAACAGCTCACAGAGGGAGGTTCCGACCTCGAAGTCACAGCGATGGTTCCTCCGTCGGATCGGTTTGGTGGAAGACATGTGATCCTACTTGAATCAACGACTCACTCGACTCACAACTACTTCCCTGGAAGGAGTTCAACTTAAAGATTGGTGAACGTATGATCTTCAGACCCATATTTTTGTCTCAGAACTCATGACAGTCTTGGCCCTGCCTAGGCCTGCAAGGAAGCCTTGATATTGGACTCTGGCGCGGGGCACCCTGGGTTCCTCAAACTGTTTGAGTGCAAGGTGTCATCCCATCTGGAGCTATAGATATGATTATGTAATATATTGTAATATTATAATTATGTTATGTATATACACACATGCATGGGAAAATATGCATACATATGTCTCCAGCCGTGCATCATATGCAATAGCACTTGAAAGTCTATTCGGCGCTAAGGTGGTGCTGGTACAAGGCCCGCCAGGTGTGAAGTGCTGTGATGGGGGAGTGCCCTTGGGAGATCTAAAGCCTTTAAGGTTTAGATTCAGATCCCACATTTTTTTGGGGTGGTGGATTTGATATAGGGATTAAAACATGAGATATGCTGCATATTACAGTGCCTGTATATATATACACACATATGCGGCTTTAGCCTCAGGCTGAACTCTCGCGGAGGGCGATGGAGAGAGAGAGAGAGAGAGAGAGAGATAGAGAGAGAGAGAGATAGAGAGAGAGAGAGAGCGAGAGAGAGAGAGATCTCTATATGGTCACCCCACCTTTGGATTGATTTTGAATATGCTGTCATGCTGAAAATTAAACCAGCCATGTTCAGTACTGACTGATGTGGGGGTTACGTGGATTATTCTTGGAAAATAATCCTAGGTGGGTACCCTCCCCCAACCTTTAAGGCTTTAAAACAATGGGAACATATTTTCACACATACCGTCACATACCATATCGAGACTTGGGATGATTTAGCTGGAATATCGCAGGAAACATCGGAAGCTCATATTTTCTCCCATCCCACAGGGCTTTTCCTGGAAGTTTCCCTGTGAAATCATTTCCGGAACAGAGAAGTTAGGATCCGGATGCTTGGACCCATGCTCACATCCTCGTGGTATTGCTGGGGTTCATTTATCCTGGGTCAACGCTACTGCTTGGTTCTAGCCTGCAGACTCACCCTACATGTGTTGGTTGGCTCAGTGGATGTACCTAATCTACATGACACTTGGCTCGATGGAAAAAAGGTCAAGTCCTCTAGCTACGCAGTTTCACGCAGCTTCAATGGTTAGCGAACACCTGAAACACCTGAACAACATGAGATGTGAGTGATTTCTGGCTGGTGAAATTCCAATTGTTGGCTTCGCGTGGGGTCATATCTGCTGTTTTCTTGGGCAGGAACCGGCAAGACGAAGACGATCGCATCGTTGATCCTGGCGTGTGCAGCCAACCGTGGCTTGTTGGCCAAGTATGGATCGAACCACAGACATCCCCGGCAATCACCGGGGTGGCTGCGAGGGATCCCTGGAAAAGAAATGAGCCGTACCATTTAAATGGACACTTTATCTAAAAATAAATGGGATATTCTGAAAATGGACCATTTATAGATATCACATGGACAATTGATCTAATGGGATATTCTGAAAATTGCCTTACCATTGAACCAAAGACGATGGCTGTGGTGGTTAAATAATTGGGCTTAAACCATCAGAGATATACGGCTTTCTGCGTTTTTCATTGTTCTGCCTACTGGGGATGATACCCTCTGGTAATTTAACATAGCTATTGAAAATGACCATAGAAATAGTGGATTTTCCTATTAAAACATGGCCATTTTCAATAGCTATGTTAGTTTACCAGAGGATATCAATTTTCGTCATGGGAATGATAGGCTACTGGGGGGGTTTAATAAGGAGGTTGGGGAGGTTGGGGACCTTCAAGACGTACGTCTGGACGTGAAGAATCCTCCACATGCCGCAAAAAAGGCATGGTATTTGTTTGGTTAAAAGGTTACCCTCTGGTAAACTAACATAGCAATGGAAAATCACCATTTTTAATGGGAAAATCCATGAAAATCCACTATAAATCACCATTTTCAATAGCTATGTTAAATTACCAGAGGGTAAACCATTGTTCTGGGGATTTGGGAATTTGAAATTTCGGCGTTCCACTTCAAACTTTGGTGGAGCTTTGGTGGGCCGATGCGTTGGTACTTGGCTGGTATTTGAGTCCACTTGATGTCTACAAATGGGTTTGGCTGAACATGGGGGGGCTAATGTTTTGCCTAAATCTGATTGTTGATAGCATCGTGTGTTTAACCATTCTAAAGTGCAATTTCCGACAAGCCAACTGGTATGTTGCTAGCTTGTTCCGTGGCCCATCAGCTGAGAAGAGCATTCAGGTTTGCTCTTGAAAAACGACGCCTCATGTGCGTGCTTCATACAAAATCGAGGTTTAAACTTCTCTTGAAACGTCAGGGGACCTGAAACAACTAGGCCATTGGGTGCGAAAAAAATCTTGCGTTTGGATGTAATCAACCAACCACAGATAGGGCGGGTTTTCTAGAGGGGGTATGCGTTTGGACTGGGGCTGAAACTTCTCCACTCAATCACTGGGATGGGGCTGGCCAAGCCTCGCAAGGGTTTGCTTCCCAATAAAGATGAGGTTATTGGCCATTTGTGGATAAGTTCAACTTCCCAATATCCACAAATGGATACTGTACATGTTAGCTTTCCAATTTCCAAGTTAAAAAAAGAAAAACACGCAATATGTGTGGATTGCCCGCTTTTTTTTGCTTTGCTTGCCTTTGGATCCTTCATATGTCTTCACGAATAGATCTTTGAGACGGGAGCTTGTGTGAATCCCAGTTCTTGATGGCCAGCTTCCTCAGTTTCTGCATGGTTCTCACCGTTATAGCTAAGAAGTTACAATATAACCATATATAACCCATGTAAATATGGCTAGAAGTACCCATTCCCATGGCTCCATGGCCGATTCCCATCAACTCCTGGCTTTTGTACTCGAGAATGTGAAGTTTTTTGTTATCATAAACCACCCCAAAAAAAGGATCCAACTGGATCCATAATGATCCATATGGTTTATATCTCCATTTACCATCCATTTTATAGGAACCTTCCAGTCGTATACCTCCGTGGACGACCCCGGCTGCGGCGAGGTCAACGCGTCCTCACCTGCGGACCGACGAATGTGGCGGCCATGGAGACAGCCATGAGAACGGAGCAAATGGTGCCTGGGCGGATACCAATTTTTAACCATGGTGTAATAGATGTTAATAGATGTTCATAGCGGTTAAAAATAGGGTGAATTATATGGTTTTTGAGTCTTAATGTTACTGGTTGATCATGGTTTGCCATGAGATATTTACCGGGAAATTTGCTACAAATACCTTGGTTATTACGAGGATTTAATGTGGCTAATTCATGGGGGAATATGGTCACCCACAGCAGGGAAACTGATCAACCAGTATAGTGAGATTGGGTAAGGGTATCTTTAGTGGCTCAACTGGCGGAGGGCACTGAACCAGCAAATAAGTACAGTTGGAGACTGATTAGTGTAGGGCACCCCAGCCCGAAACAATTGAGGTATATATATATATATATATACTCTATTATTCATTTTTGTTGGGGACCAGGTCTGGGGAATTCAGCATGATCAACTGTCAAGTAAAGATTTCAATTGATGCCAATCTACTTTCAATTGATTTTAAATGTTCTCCTTTTAATTTGAAAAAATCTGGATTAGTGAGGGTTTCACTTCATTTGAATCTACTTTCAGTTGATTTTCCTGTTTAACGTAGCTGAAATTTAAGGATAAGTAAGGATTTCAATTCTCATCAATCTACTTTCAGGTCTTTCCTCTTTTTAACCCTAAAAGAAATCAAAGGATAAGAGATGGTTTCAATTCATAGCAAACTGCTTTCAAGTCATGTTCTCTTTTTACCCTGAAAGAAATCCACGGACAAGTAAGGATTTCAATCCATACCAAATTGTTTTCTAAAGTAAATGATGCTTTAAGATGCTTTAAGATGCTTTAAGTGGGTTGAAGGTTTCGAGGTTTTTGTACCCCAGAAATTCCTTAGCACAACAGGGTGCCATCCAAGAGATTACATTATTGATCGAGGATCTAAATCACGCAGGGCTACCCCCTTTAAAAATTGTTTGGGTGCTGTTGTTTGATCGGGAGTTCTATCATAAGGAAATTGGTTGTTTGGGGAAACATGGGGAAACTGACATTTTGAAGATTCAAGATGATTGGGTTGATCAAGATACAGCAGCTATAGTAACTTACTAAGGGTGGACAATTTGTTTTTCAAAGAAAAAGTGCCGCATGAAGGGACTGGACCTGCACAAACTGCATGTTTTTCCTTGACCTTATTTTTCCCCCTGCGAAAAAAATGTCTGAGTTTATTTTCCCCAATGGGGTTCCACCCAAACAATTTCAGGAGATTGAATAATTTTGGAAGAACTTTTCGCAATACGGCCCCATCACACTAATCAGCACACTATATTACAGACAACTGATGGTTTAAGCACCAAATAATCCAAGTATGGGGCTTAATGCTCAATTACAAATTTGAATAACGTTGGGGATAAATAAAGAATTGCCAAGATCCAATATAATATGCAATATAAACATTGAATTTCGCCAACAAAATATGTGGCTATGTAATGGGGCAAACTTACCACACCCACCAACTTGCAGCGCAATTTGGGCACACCTGCAATAGTTCGCCAGCATTTTTTTCATGGCGGACATGAACCACCAATGATTAAGAAAAATGGGAATGCTCCTCTGGTAGTCAAACATGCTGAAGCATGGCAATGGAAAACCCCCTGCAAATGGAGGGTTTTATTGGAAAGTCCTCCGTAAATGGTGGATTTTCCAGCAAATCATGTTTGAGTACCGGAGGGTATGCCGTGAAAACCGGGGGCTTTGGGTCAACCACAAGACATGCCAGCGCTGGCCTGCAGCCTGGCATTTTTTTGGGGGACCCATCACAAGGAGGATTCGATAAGGCAATGGGATTGTGTGGCAAAGGTGAAGGGTAGGTCGGCAAATGGGGATAATGACGACATCTTGAACATTTTGCAGGTGTTTAGTGTTCCTTTTTTTTTGCATTTTCGATTTGAACCATCGATATTTTGGATGCGATTGCTGAGACAAGGGGCACAAGGTCTTGCCCGCTGTGCAAGTGCCAGATGGTTTTGAAGCATGCAGTGATATACAGACGGGCGCGGGTGTGTGATTTTCGTGCTTGATCACATTCATTTACGAGGTGGAACATGTTTTCAGATACCCTCTGGTAAACTCACATAACTATGGACAATCACCGTTTTTAATATATAGGTAAATCAACTATAAATAGGCCATGTTCAATAGCTATGTTAGTTTACCAGAGGGTATTATAGCGTCCCATATTCCAGCAATATCACCATACATAATTGTGTGTCATCCATCAGTAACACCCCCCTTGGTTGATGTGCAGGATTACATATAGGTGAAACTCCGAAAAATCCAATGATTGGTTTGTTATGTTGCTTTTTGTTGAACAATCCAGATTCATCCTCCTTTCACTAAGATGAAAAGGGTGATCGAATCCGCAGGTATTAGTTCAGCAGTGTTTGGGGCTCCCCAAAAGTCATATTTTTTCATGTTGTTTTATTTTGATTTCATCTTCTAACAGTCCCTACCAGAAATAGGTCAAAATGAGGCACAAAACAAAGCAACCTAGAAAGAGCATGCACGGGCACATGGCCTTTCATACATGGCTTAAGACGGTTGATGTGCTTCACAGGAAGCACGGTCGCAACATTCTTTTTGCACGTTGCAAAGCACGGTGAACAACTTCTCAGGTAGGGCAGACCTAGGTCACAAAACTGAAAATGTGGAATGATTTTGAATGCTTGGTCAAAGTCTTGAAGATGAATGACGGTCACTTGTGTCATGCGTCATGTTGCTGCACACCATACAACCAAACAATAGAGATATTGAGATTCTGTTCACTTGTGTCACTTGCTTGTGGGGAAGCTGTCACTTGCAATCGAAGAGGGACTGGCTAAGTTCAGCACTCAGGATTTCTGCATTCCCCAGCAGCCGGGATGCACAGAAACCTAAAGCTGAAATCGTCGAGAGTCGAGAGTCAATAGTGTCATTTGTGTCATGTGTGTCATTTGCGTCACCTGTAAGTCATGGGCAAGTATACAGAGGTCTTCGGCACGATAATTTTTGTCACCGACTGCATGGACACAGACTACGCTGACTGTCACCGTTAATTACAAACTTCGGGGTCGACATCCCGACTTGTATCAGGGATGAAATTGAGCAGAGTAGATATCTGCCACGGCCATTGCAAAAGTTGGAGTGTATTGGCCTGAAATTTCTAGTGCATCTCTACGACCTGTGAACCTTCCTTGATCATCATGAGTCGCCAAAGACTCTGTTAGCCAATCGGGTTTCGGCCGTTCAAGGTCAGTAAAATTGCCTACGCCAGCATGCCATAACTGTAGCGGCTTCACAGAACTGGCGCCAAAAGCACCAGCATACGTGACATGCTTTCTGGCTGATACAAAAGACAGTACATGAGGAAAGCTTCCAGCTTGTGGCATGCAACTGTTCAGAGGTTGCTCCAGAATGGTTTCACAATTCAACACGAAGCTTAGAAACATCACAAGGCTAGAGAATTCCTGTAATGCGTTACCAATCCGGACAAACTCCCTTCGCATGTCTCCTCGGAAAAAGTTCTCCATGTAGCGTTGTGACTGGGCCAAGCACAGAACTACGAAACTACTACATTGCGTTCCTAGCCATATCAGTGCATGGTCCTTTGCTGCACCAAGGAGGTTGAGAAATAATCTCAAACCACAGGGCTCCAAGCAATCCTGGGCTTCAGCATCGTTGATCAAGTCCACAGCGGCACCCCAAAAGCCCTTCTTCAGAAGATGTCGAGTCAGCTCACCTTTGCCGCAGAAGTACTCTACGAAGTCAAAGTTGCAGCGGCCATCATTGCATTGCCGGTGTGCTAAAATTCTTTCCTCCGACGAAGTTTGGATGAATAGAAGGGACATGACAAGACATGCATTGTCGCAAAACAAATCATTCATATAAAACAGCAAAGCAACAAACAGCTGAAAAAAAAAGCTGGTAATTCAAAATGAACGAACACGTAAACTGCAAACCCAAGAGTCCACCAGGGACATGAGCATCTCCTTTAAACACATGCCCTTCATGAACGGGTAGGCCATTTCGATGAGCACTGGCCACAACATGACTGCAAAGCCACCAAATTCCACATCTCCAGTGAGAAACTGATCAACGAGCTGCCCCAAAGACTGCAAGGACTCTGCTGCCGACGACTTGCACTTCAAAAAGGGGCTCACAACTACAGTGTCCAGGAGCTTGAAGTGGGTACATGACCAAAAGGTTAGCTCCAACTCCAGATCTTCCTGGTCAACGCGCTGCTGGTGCTCAGCCAGTGTCTCTTGAACTCTGGTTGCTGTGAAAGGAATGCGAAACATGCCTCCTTCAGACATCTCAGCCTGGGATTGCTGAGACAAATCGCCATGGTGACATTTTTGTTTCTTTTTTCCCTGGGTCTTCTTTACTTTCACTGCGTGCTGAGCCTGCTCCAAACCAGGCATCATCATTGCTCCAAGCATGAGAGGCCATTGCCACATTGGCATGGAAGGGCACGACCATTTCCCCATGGCGCACCCGTAGTAACGAAGCTGTCACAGTCAGTCAAACCAAGGGTCAAAAAATGATACGCTGCTTGCGGTGGGCTGAAAGCCAGTTGTGCCCACGCTCTATATCTATTAGATTCGATGGTTTACTGTAGGTTCTAGATTCGACTTGCTTGATCATGTTCCTACTCTGTTGTCAGTCGGGGATGACAGCATCCTCTGCGGTAGCCACAATGACAACACACACACAAGCAAGAAAGCAAAAGTTGAAAGTTGTGACGGCACCGCATGACAAACGACACTGCCAAACTAAAGACACTGCGCCCGTATGTTTTGACAAATGTGGAGCAGACAGCTCACTCCGACTCACTGCCCTGTCTCTTGCCGTAGGCCTTGGCAGAAGGTAGGTCATCGATGGTGCTTTGCAAAGAATCCAGGAGCTCTTGAGGGATAATTCCTGGCTCTTGTTCCTCTTGCCCAGCCTGCAGCTTATATGCAGGATCATCCCTGACAAGGTGCCACTTTTGCCATGCGTGTGCATGTACAATCTTCAGCGCGTAGCCCCATTCAATGTTCAGAAACTGCTTGGAAAAGGTTTTTTTTGAAAAGTGTGGGTCAAAAGCACGCCTGTGGCCCTTCTTGCATTCCACTTTCCTTGGCTGCGTGCACGCAGGAAAAGTAGCCAGCGACAAGAAAAGAAGAAGGAGTTAATAACGTACTAACAGCAGACCAGTGTCCAACGCCACTCATTCTTGCTCATGGTCAGTTTGAACCCAGGAGGTTCCAGGAGGGAAAGAACTTCGGATGGGGATTTGTAAACCTTTTTCCTGGTAACAGACGACGACGATGATGGACCTTGCTCCGTTGCAACCACTTCTTGTTCTTGAAGCACCTCTTTTTTCATGTGAAGCAACTCTGCTTTGTCTTCACCATCTTCACCATCATCAGCAAGTGGCTGTTCCTCCGCCTCATCCACTTCCATGGGCAAAGTTTTGTCCTCCTCAATCGTTCCCTGGTTCGGAGGTGTGGTGTCATCACAAGGTTCAAAGCCGCCGCCAAACAAAGACTGTACCTGACGATCTCCTTCCCCCAAAGCATCAGTGGGATGTTCATCAGCTGGTGCCAGGACATGTTCCTCAGCCTCAGGTTGGTCTTCATGAATATCTGCCGCTGTGCCATCAGGAGTTGGAGCCTTGCGCTTTCTTGTATTGGCCGCCTTCTTCTTTGCAGCCGCTTTTGGTTTAGCCTTTGCTTTCTTAGATGGGTTCTTTGACTTGGACTTGGCCTTAGCCTTCTTCTCCTTTTTCTCTTCCACCCTTTGCAGCAGCCCATCAGACCATGCCTTCTTCTTGGCCAAGTCGTTGTGTTTCTGCACTCTTTCTTTCAGCTCTCCTTGGCTAGTGTTAGCCCTTGGTTCAAAAAACATAACAAATTAACAAAATTCAGAGTTGCGAGCATCAGTGCCCGGCAAAATTAAAAATGCTAGCCAAGCTGAGGGTCTAAAATCGTTTTTTTCAACTTGGCCTTCTAGGCCTTCAAGTAGCTGCTCGGCAAAATCCAAGTTGTCAGCATCAGTCTGTTTGCCCTTAGAGTACTCCTGATCCAGCTCCAATACCTGCTCGGCGAAATCTTCCCCGAAAGATGTTGCCAACAAGCGCAACAGTTCCAATCTGTCCATGCTCCTCGGCTTGTGGACTTTCATGAAGGTGGCAATGGTGACAAGGTCGCCGAAATTCAAAATCCAAGGAGTTTTCAGAGCTGCCAGAATGAGTGGCTCACCGGCACAAATGACACGCAGACTCACGCCTTCATCTAAGACTGACTCTGACCAAACCACCTCAGCAGTGAGGGCAAGCCAAGAGTCCCAATCATCGTGGTTTGACAAGTGATGCCATCGAGCTTTCGCACCAGCATCGCACGACACCTGCAGACGGGTAACATGACTTTCATGCTCGACCAGAACCAGCGGCCAAGAAAGAAATCCCCAGTAGCACGACTTGACTACAATGACGAACTCTTCACTGTGAACATGCTGTAGGACTTGCTTTGGTTGGAGGATGCCGCTGATGGGTCCATCTGCTATGCGGCATCCAAGGTCCTGGACCTGCCGCACAAAGCTCCATCCAGCCGCTGACCGTCGCAGCGTATCTTCGCTGATTGTTGGCCACACTTTGTTCCCCATGATGGAGCTGAAAACCTAATTTGCCAGGAAAATTTGAATCACACAGAGTCAGATCTCAGCAGGCCAGCTAGAGGGTCTAGGTTTCCCTGTCTTTTGTCCAACATGAAAACATGTTTCGACATGAAACTAGTAACTCGAAGACAACAAACAGCTGCTCAAGAGGCACCTTGTCAAGCCTCATTGCGTGCCCTCTGAAGTTCCTGAATTGGACACCATCCGTCTTCGCTGATGACCACTTCTCCAGGAACCACTCTTTCTGCAAGCTAGCCACATGGTTGATCTCCCGCCCCTCAAGGACCATTGCCTGCTGCACAAGCTCCATAATATGCGACGCAGACTGCCTTGAATTGGCATTTCCAGCAGCATCGTTTCTGATGCGTTGGTGGCAATCTTCAACCACCTTGGAATCAGGAAATCTGCGGAAGATTGCTTCCATGATAAACCACCCCTGGTGTCTGATGCCAGTTGGACCAAAGACACACCAGTTGTTGAGCTCAAACAATGAAAGTGCCAACCTCACTAGGGGGTTGAACAACAACCGCAAGTCACTGGCAAGCTGGTCAGCAGCTGGCGCCGTAGACACTTCCAAAGACAAGAGCAGGTGAAAGTCGCGTTTCATTTGCTGCAATGTTTGTTGTTGAGTTGCCGCATCCATGATTCCAGCATAGCAGAAAGGTGGACACGAGTGACGAGATAGTGTGGCCACACGGTTTCCTAGAATGCTGACTGTGTAGTTGAAGACTTTTGAAGCCAAGCCGCCTCCACGACGCCACATTGTTTGCCGCAATAAAAGAAGCAATCTCCAGCAAGTGAGGGTCACAGCACCATTGCTCACTCATTCTCAAGTCATAGGCGATATTGTCCCAGGTGCTTTTGACTGTCTCGACATTCTGAGTGTGCCAAGTCCAGCAGGCACGGCTGACGGTGAATATCACCCAGGCGGACTCATAGACTGATGCTGAGCAGCATTGATAGGCAAGCTTGAGTCCATTGAACTGCTCGCTGGATCTCCATTCTCTGAAGTTCGTGGTGTGGCCGTTAAAGTCAGGGTCAGGCAACATTTCATGGCAAAACCTCCACTCAAAAAGCATTCGCGACGCCCAAAATTCTCGAAGGTACTCAGAAGCGACTTGGTGCCAGCTAAACCACCGAGACATCTTGGGAAGGCTTCCCTTTTGAGTCCATGAAGTCATACGAGATAGCTCATCCCAAATCGTATCCACTTCAGACACATGAATGCCAAAGTCGCAAGCAATGCGGGGCAGGTATTTCTGGAAGATGGGTGACTCCTCAGAGGGGCAGCAGCATTTGTAGCAGCCTTATTTCATCTCATTCTTTAAAAAACAAAAGCTGCACCACTGACCTTGCCTTGGACTCGATAGAAAGAAAGCTCTGCAGAAGCTCCAACTTATCCTGGAAAAACCCTTGGCTGTTGAAGGGTTTGTAGTTTGCGCTCCAAAGATACATCGTTGCCAATTGGGCAAACTGCAGAAACTCCGGTCCACTTCCCTTCAAATCTCTCTGGCATCTGTGAATCTTGTCCCAGACCGGGAGGCAAAGCACACCATTCTCCTGCATCCAGGCGCACATAGCCACGCAACTGGGGCCTTGGTCCAGTTGCAGGACCATGACGGGTACACCATCAACACCGCGGAAGTCAACTTCTTGCGCCTGTTGTGTGCCAGCTCGATAGATGAGAACCTTGGCCAATGTGCACACCGCAGCGTTGCCAAAAAAAGTGCCACATCATCAACAAAAATCAATTTAAATCGGCTCTGAGCAAAGATGAATGAGTCACATACACTGAATCAAGTTCAAGCAGCTTTATTTTGCCCATTCTCCTTTACAGCTGTTCGGTGATCGCCAGGAGACAGTGGTTCTAATGACATCTCAGGTGTGGCAAAGAAACTTTCTAGGCTAAACTTCCCCTTTGTGAGCAAATGGATCTGGTGTGAGAGAGCCTGGAGCTGCTTGTACGAAGCAACTCTGGACACATCTCTTTTGATAGCCCGCAACTCAATGTCCGGGAGAAAGTCGATTAGCCCAGGTCTCCTGAGAGTGACACTGATTTGTTGGCTACATGTATCGTTGCCAGCAAAGACCTATCAGGTGCAAACAAGTGTTAGTGAAATTGGAACAAACACAAACTGAAGCTAAGCATCATCAACTTGCCTGGTGACAGCTGTTGGACAGCCATGGCCACTGCCCCATCAATGTCAGTGGAGTAGCTGTAGCTGACCAAAGTCTCTGGACCATGGGACGCGCCATCCATGACAATGTTGAAGTGTCTGCAGGCCAAGAAAGCTGTTCTCGCTCTGTCCTGGTACATTGCAAGGATTTTTTTTGACCAGTACCCTGTTGATGTTGGCTTCACTCCACCATGCGCATCATCTTCACGAACTTCCGCAAGTTTCGCCAGAGAAATACCTTTGCGGGTGGCTTCCTGGCAGAGGTTCCACACCGTCTCTAAGTTGACCTTCTGAGTGTCGGAATCTGCTGACCTCCTCACATTTCGCGAGGGCGCGTTCAGCGAACTACTCGGAGAGAGGCTTTGGTGGAGAACATCAGTGAGAAAGCCAACAAAAGCATGTAGCAAATTGGTGACGATGGCTCTGGATCTGTCTTTCCAAGGTCTTTTCTCCTGCTTCTTCCTTGCCTTGTTGACTTGTAGAACGAACAGCATGATGTCCCTCAATGGCAAGTGTGGGGCATCCCAGCTCGCAGTCAACCCCCACTGAGGGTCAGCCTTCATTGATTGCCACTGGAGCTGCCAAGCCTGTTGCACAGCCTTGTGCTCACTTTGCAGGAGTGCCGAAAAATTCGCAACACATCCAGCCGAGTTCACCTCCAACTGAACGTCGGATACCTTGGTCAATCATGGTGCCACGATTGGTCACACTGACGGAAAATTTGACTGAAGCCACCAGAATGGGTGTTTTCGGATATTAAAAATCAGAAACTTTACATCTCATTCCGTTTCCCAAAGCTTACCTGCCCAATTACAGCTCAAATTGCATCAATGACATAGCCTTCTCCCAATGTGTGGGCATGGCTGACAGCTTTTTCACAAATGGAATTGAAATGGCCAATGGCAAAGTTTGCTTTCTCTGGGATCCTCGAATGTTCAACCAGCGAAGCCATGTAAAGCAAAAGAACCCGGCTGGTCGCACAGTTTGCGTTCAAAGCTCCTGGCCTCCCAGGGATGCCAGAAAGACAAATGCTGAAACAACAGTTCTTTTTGAGCAGTTGTTTTGGTTCTTCTAACAGACAGAGCCTGCTGCTTTTGCCACGAAGGTGAAGCTCATCAGCAGAAACCCCTGAAGACTGCACAACAGCGGCGACCTGTTGCATGAACTTGTGGCTGGAGACGACTGTTGCCACTGAGGTTCTCGCGAGCTGGTCATACACATACATCAGATCCCAATAGATTGGGCCATCGCCATCATCGCCCCTCCTCCAAAACCCAACCGGGGACAAAGCAAGTTGCCCCTCGTTGAAGACCACACTGACAGTGTCGGCCACTGTCAAGAGATCATGCACCATTAATGACGAACCCCACTGAATGTGAGTCAAAACGAGAGAAATCAGGAAATTATAATATGACACAGGAAAGTACAGCTTGCATTTTAGCTGGCTGCAACAAAAACAAGGTTTGCCTCTGACTCTCTAATCAGTCGTTGCGTCTTTTGTCAGCTGTTGTTCAGAAAAGCTCCACCCTCAACAGTCACAACCTGGAACCGCTACTTGACATGCTGAATATGCACACTGATGCACAGTCACAAACGACTCTAGGATGACAACACATGACAACACCCCACTGTACACATGGAACCAGTACATGACATTCCTCGGGCAAAGAGGGCACTTTTTTTTGTGCACTCGCCTGGGTGGCCGCAACCCAACGGATCAAACCCAGCTTTGTCTTCGTGGCCAGGCAACGCAGGCAGTTCACACTGCAGTGTCAAATGAACACTCGCAATTCCTAAGAACCCGCCTCGCATGCAATGCCTGTGGCGTCTCTCTCCCAAAGATCTAATCACACCTAGCACCTCGCCAGTTTCAATTTGAAAGGAACCAAAAATTTGTCAGTTGTGTCAGTTGTCTTAGCATCGGTCAGTGTCTGTTTGACTGACAACATGACCCTTGTGACAGCCTAGCTTGAAGCACGACAGCGATGCAAACAAATGACCCTCACCCTTCAGACGTCTCACATGAAAGCAACCGGCTCCTCAGCCACATCACCAGCAGAATCACCAGCTTCATCAGAGACACCATTCTCAGCCGCAGTGGTCACGCCGGCCTGCTCCACATTCTGGTTAGACTCATGGCAACGGTATGGGCAATGGTGATTTGGAACCCCAGTCACTTCACGCCACTCATTGAGGCAACGGGCATGAAAGGTATGGGGGCGTGGGCAAGGAAGGGTCTCTCCATCCTCCGACTGCAACATCACTTCATGACAAATGGCACATACTGGGCCAGCCACAACCCCAGCAGCTGGTGGCTCAGCAGCTGCTCCACCCTCACCTGATTCACCTTCAACAGCTGATCCACCTGCAACCTCGTTGGACTCAGGACCACTGGCAGATTCAGCTGCTGCATCCATTGCCTGACCCAAGCTGAGACGTGGAGGGGATGCCTTTGGCGGGCTGGATGTGGCCTTCGGGTAGACCACTGATGCCCGGGGCGGAGGGGTCGAGGCAGCAGCTGGCACAGCTGGCGGAGGCGCCTTTGGAGGCGACACGGCTTTGGGCGACGTGGCAAACACAGCAGCAGGAATCATGGTAGTAGCCAAGGCCTTTGGAGGAGGTGGGGCAGCTTTGGCCAACAAGTTCCCGATGTGCCCACTGGACTTCACAGCCGCTTTGGCGAGACTTCGTTTGCTGGTTGCTTTGGCCATGAACTCGGAAGACCAGCCAAAGGCACCAGCAATCATCAACACATCCGAGTCACCCATGTCAAGTGGCAACCGGGACATGATCTCATCCTGAAATCGTGCATCAGTCATTGACTTCCTGACACGCAAATGCGCAGTCATGAACTTCTCAGCAAGCTCCTGGTATGTCTCACAACCTTGGCGAGCAGGTTACAGAAACTTAAAGAAATCAGTGTAAACATTGCAGTGGCCACGAAAACCATGTTTGACACACCATGAAGGTCCAAGTGGCCAAGGTCACACACTCTCAGGTTAGGGCGAAGCCGGCACCACAGCCACAAAAGACCAAGGAGACCCACAATGCTCAGGTTTGACGTTGCAGTTGGGTCTAAGCAAATCGAGTTCAGGCACATAGCCAATCGGTTCCGGGGAACCTGCCTCAGCATGCTCACAGAGCGACCCCAAGTCTTCTCACAGTTGACAGGCAATGCCATCAACAAGGTCACAGGTGGGACCACAGCTTCTCCACCTGTCTTGGGAATGGTTGGAGCTGCTGAGGACGCTGGTGCACTCTGACCTTGGCCTTCATCCGAAGATGACGACTCCTCAGCCTGAGCCTGTCCACGCTGGGGTGGTGGCTGCATCATGCTGCCCATGCCAGCCAACATAGGGTTCATCATCATCGCAGGGTTCATCATCATGGGGTTCAACATCATTTGCTCCCGAGGCTGAGTACGAGCACGCTTGTGATCACGCCCCATTGCTTCAGACCCGTAGACAGGATCCAGGCACCTAAACTGAAAACAACTACTTTTCACAACTATTTGGGCCCGAGGTGAAACATTGACAACGTGACACTGGTCCCGACCTGTGTTCTGGCACATGTGTTCCATGTTGAGACCCCACAGAGACACCAATACTTCCGCGAGCACACAAGAGGAAAAAAGAGGAACAAAGAGGAAAAAAGAGAAAAACAGAGGAAAAAAGAGAAAAAAAGAGAAAAAAAGAGGAAAAAAAACAATGCCCCCCTAATTGAAAGTAGCCTACAAGAGCACAGAGAAGGAGAAAAAAAGAGAAAAAAAGAGGAAAAAAGAGGAAAAAATAGAAAAAAAGAGAAAAAAAGAGAAAAAAAGAGAAAAAAAGAGGAAAAAAAGAGAAAAAAAGAGAAAAAAAAAGGGAAAAAAAAAAAGGAAAACGAGAAACAAACAAAAGAGAGAGAGAAAGAAAATGACCGATTGATTACACATGACCGATTTGTTACAAACTCAGTGCCGGTTGATTACAAATGACCGATTAGGACACATCACATGGATCAATGACAAGTCACAAATGGCACATCCAGGACAAATGACAAGTCCAGCACACATGACATCACAAATGACACATCCAGGACAAATGACAAGCCCAGCACACATGACATCACAAATGACACATCCAGGACAAATGACAAATCCAGCACACATGACATCGCAAATGACACATCCGCGACAAATCACAAGTCCAGCACACATGACATCACAAATCCAGGACATATGACAAGTCCAGCACACATGACATCACAAATGACACAACCAGGGCACATGACAAGTCCAGCACACATGGCGTCACAAATGACACATCCGGGACATATGACAAATCCAGCATACATGGCGTCACAAATGACACATCCAGGACATATGACAAGTCCAGCACACATGGCGTCACAAATGACACGTCCAGGACATATGACGAATCCGGCATACATGATGTCACAAATGACACATCCAGAACATCATTATAATATGCCAAGCCCAGCACACACATCAAGTTCAACAGAAACAAATAACAAATCTAACCAGTTGCAGCAGTGCCACATGACACTAAACGACAAATGCGTGTTTGTGCTTTTCAAGTGACATCACGTGAATGCACCTTCAAAAACAACAACAATCACAATCACAATGGCGAAAGGCTAAAGTTTCAGCAGGGTCCTGTCTGAATGTACTGAGTTTGCAGCACATGCGCCATTGGTAGCTGCCATGCAGACACCTCCAGGCACACAACGCACAGCCAAGCGAAGGATGTGAACAAACATAATTGCCCGGCAATATTATTCGGAAGAAACAAAAGTTTAAGACAAAATTCAGCTGCTTCACATTGAGCTCAGGAGCGCGCGCAAAAAGGAGATGCTCCAGTCTCGAAAATTTCAACCTGGGCAATGAACCACACCGCAGGACAACTTGGAACATGTGGTCCACATTCTCTTTGTCACCATTGCCATGACCTGACTGACTGAGGGCCAGACTGAGGTAGCATCAAGCCACCTTTGGAGGAGCGGACTGTATATTGATTATTTCGTCTATCTCATGGGGCTGCCTGCTTTCAAATTCCACCACTTTTTGTTTGTTTTATCATGATTGTAGGTGAACTTCCATTAGCTAGTTTTTGAACAGAGTATTGAAGCCCAAGTGACAAAAAAGTCACACATCCATGGTGCACCTCTAAAGTAACAAGGACTTGTTCTGTTGTCTTGGGCCCACGCCAGGGCCAACCAGCCATGTGAGAAATTGCGCACGAACACACAAATGACAGCCTGCACCAAGAATCACAAGCGTCAGTGACTAAAGGCCACCGCAAATACCTCATGAAGTTGGTTACTTTCACGTCAACCAAAAGGATTTGACAAGGGCAATCGCTGTTGCCCCCGCTTTACACGCACACACACCTTGAATATGACATTCTTTTAAGGCTTGAGGAACTGACCTTTCAGCCACCTTGGCCAGCGAGCATGTCGAGAATTGATCATTTTTAGTCTTCTGTCATTTGGATTTCAGTAGCCACATGCTTGATGCGATGTGAAAGAAAGACTATGTCTAGTCCAAAAAGACAAAGACATC